AGGTGCTTAATCAATACTTATCAATTGATTGATTAATAGGTAGGACTGCTGAGGAAGAGAACTTCATAGATTTGAATTTCTAATCTCTTGATTAATCTGATAAGTCACTCCACTTTTCTCAAGGAAATCTACATTAGATTTATGTTTGAAGGACATTATGCATATTTTCCTTTTAATTGAATCTTCTAAAAGCCTGTTGTTACCTATAAGTTATGCATGTCTCTGAATGAGAATATGTTAATGCAAAAAAATTGAATGTTTTTTTCACCCCATATGTTTTTATATTAGTGATGCTATGTGTTCATTTGATGTGTTTTTGGCCCTGTCAGCTATATTTGCTGAATATGATACTTTTTATAAATGTGAAATCATTCCCTTACTCAAGTCTTGGCAAATAGATTTGTTTCCCAAGGGCAGGAAAAATAGAGCAGTATTTGGATCACACATCTGACTAGTAACGTAGTGGTATAATTGACAATAATTTTTTAAAATTATATTAGATGTTATAGTGTTTGCAGCTGTTAAAGAAACACTATTTGGTTAAGTGCTACCAAAACAAAGGTCACATTATTTTGTGACTAATAGCTATTAAAACAAATGCTGTCTCAAAGTCAGAAAGACCTATGTTCAACTCCTGCTTCTGATATATACTAGCTGTGTAACTCTGAGCAAGTTACTTAACCTCTCAGTGTGCCAGGCAACTCTCTATTAGACTATATATTATAGATAAGGGGCCAACTTCCATTGGAAAAAGTTTCTTTACTGGGAGTTCTGTGAATGCAGCTAGGTGGCACAGTGGATTGTCACTTAACCTCTATTTGCCTCAGTTTCCTCATCTGTAAAATGAGTATAATAATAGCACCTATGTCACAGGGTTGTTGTGAAGATCAAATAGCATAATTGTAAAGCACTTAGGATACATAGTGTCTGGCACATAGTACACTCTATATAAATGTTACTTATTATTACTAAATCAATGAAATCACAGGTCCCATCCAAAAACAAAAAGATATAGTACACATCAGTAGAATATTACATTTTACATAACATGGGGATTTTATGTTTTTTTTAGAAAATAGATACCCATCAAATTTCATAGGTACAGACCATTGACTCTAACACCCTCTATTACAAAAGAGGAAACTGTATTATAGAGAGGTGATGTGACTTATACAAGATTACCATGTAAAGTCAAGACAACCTGATTCCTATTCCATGTTCTTTCGGCTCTACTTCTTATTTTTATTTGGACTCTAGCTTCCCAATACATGGACATGCTTCCTTTATAAAACAAACTTGAAAAGTAAGTTTTGGAGACTTCTGGGTCATGTAAGCAACAAGATGGAGGACTAGACATTTTCTCTGATCCCTATTATTTCTCAAACCTCTCCAAAACAGAAATTATGCACCAAAGATAAAGCAATTTCAGTTGACTCCGTGGTCTAAGATATGTAGAATCTAAAAGAAGGCTGAAAAAGTCATGAATGGGTGCTTATTAACCCTGGGCTCACTCAGGACTCCTCCCCCACCTCTTATGCTACCAGAATTGAGGTTGTACTAGCAGACCCAAGTACACAACACAGGCTTACAAAAAAAAGCCATTCTTAAACCTTGGTCTACTCTCCTTCTTTCTACTGCCATGGAGACTCCAGTTCCAGGTTGTAGAGGTTTGCTCAAGCCATAGCAGCCAACTTGGCCATAATTCTTCAGGCCCAAAAGCCTGCCAATGGCTGCAACCTTGTAGCACAGTGCTGCAAAGCTCTGATCTGTTGGTGCTAGGGAAAGCAGTGCTGCAAAGCTTTGAACAGCCAGTGCTAGGCCAGAGAACTGAGAAACAAAGGGAGTAGGACAGATTACCAAGACAGAATACTCTGTGTGTGTGTGTGTTGTGTGTGTGTGTGTGTGTGTTAGGGAAGAAGCACTCAGCAAAGCCTAAGGGAAACAGCATAATCAGCCAGGGTCAGTTCTGACCACCTAAACATCATTTGGGGCATAGACTTAGACTGGTGAGCTATGAGTCAGCCAGTATAGGAGTAAGCTTTGGGATCCAGTCCCCAAGAAAATCACAGAGGGGATAGAGTCAGAAAGTGTGTGATAGGGAAAATAAGGGGGAAAGAAGACTGAAATTGCCAAAGATTTCAGGAATAAAACTCAAAGACCTTAGACATAAGGACAATGGACAAATGGACAAATCAACAGGAAAAACATTAATAACAGAAGGAAATATGGTCTCCAGATCAGTAAACTAGTTTGAGCATATACGATTAAATACTGCAGAACAAAGGAAAACAATCCAACATTTGATAAGACAGAATTTTGGAATATGAAAAGAACATGGAACCACAATATGATGTTCCTAATTGGTTCAAAAGAGAAATGAGGATTATGAGAGCATAATTTATGCCCTGCACAGCCAAAATAATGGACAGAATAGAAATACCGGAATTTGCAATGGCAATCTTCACTAAAGAAACAAAAGAGAAAACAATAGATTGGGAATATAAATGAAATAAAGGACACTCTAGAAGAAGAGAAGCAAAAAACAGTAACAGTAAAAGAAAATACACTCACTATGCAAATAAGGTATTGATCTCAAAGACAAGGTGAGTAGAAACCACCTAAGAATCATAGGTCTCCCAGAAGAACATGACAGGTTAAAAAAAAATCATAATAAAGAGAATAATAGAAGAGAACTGCCCAGAATTTCTGCACATAGAAAATTAAATTCCAATTGAAAGAATTCATAGATCACTCCAGGAAAAAACAAAACCAAGGCTGCAAACTCCAAGACACATAGTGGTTAAATTTAATAGTTCAATTCAGAAATAACTGTGCTACCTGATGGTTATCTATACATTCTCAATTTATAATCTAGAGAATTGCTTGGGGCACAAAGAAGTAGGATACAATATAAGATATTTGAGTATAGGGACCATTTTGTTTTATTTTGTTTTCTTCATATCCCTATTGTTTAAAACAGTGCTTGGCACATAGTAAGAGCTTAAATGTTTGTTAACTGAATGAATGATTGAGAGACTTAGTGACTTGCTAGGAGGATATCACACAGCCACTATATGTTACAGTCAGTTCAACCTAGGTCTTCTTGACTCTGAGACCAGCTTTCTGTCCAGCAGGCCATGCTACTTTCCATTCATATGAAGCTTATATTATGTAGAGTCACAGAATATCAGAGTTGGAAGGATTAGAAGTCATTTAGTTTAACTTGTAGCTGACTACATTCCTGAAGAGTGGTCATCCAATCTACATTTGAAGACCTCGGGTAAAAAGGAAATCATCACCACCACCACCACCACTAAGGCAGATCATTTCACTTTTGGACAGCTCTAATTGTTAAGAAAGTGTTGCTTACATTGCGCCTAGATTTACCTCTTTGCAACTTCCACATATTGCTTCAAGTTCTACCCTCTGGAGCCAAGAAGAATACATCAGATGGAAGGATAACATCCTGAAAAGAGCACTAGGTTTCTAGTCAGAGGGTCTGAGCTCCTATAATTTGCTTACTACTGGTGTAACCTTGAGCAAAATCATTTCCACTTTTCTGGACCTCAGGCTTTTTTTTTCTCTAAAAATGAAGGGATTGGACCATACTAAGGAAGGTATAACATAGTGGAAAGGATGTTAGAGTTGGGGGTCAAAAGGTCTGTTTAAATTTCTGGCTCTGTCATTTAAACCACTCAGCTCCAAAATTCTTCCCTGGGACCATGATTCTTCCTGCCACCTGCCACTCCTCCACCTTTAGTCTTTTATATTATAATCAAATCTACTCAGTCAATGCTTCTGGAAAAGCTATGTCATTAGACTGCCCTATTATCCTATTCACCATCCCTGTGACTTCCCAGACCAAACCACCCTTCCTTGGCTACCACTCCTCTATATGTTCTTCCCTCTATTACACTATAAGTTCCCTGAAGGGAAGGACTGTCTGGTTTTTGCATTTCTCTTTCCTGTATTTAGTCCAGTGTCTGACTTACAGTAAACACTGTAAGTGTGTGTGTGTGTGTGTGTGTGTGTGTGTGTGTGTGTGTATGTGTGAGGTGTTCAGTGGAGACAAGCACCTCTGGTGTGAGAGCTTGCCAAGCACTTTTCAGTGCTGCTTATCTACCTTTAGTGTCCACCTCTCACTGAACTCTCACCTGTGGCTCCAAGAAGGTGTAGCTTGCACAGTGGCCATACCCTGGTAAAAATCTTCTTGGCAGAAGGGCTAAACTAGGTTGAGGGTAACTGACAGGCCTCAAATTCATTGATGAGCTGGGAGGATGTCCACCCCAAGTATGTGAAGACTTTCCCTGGTGGAATGGGAAGATAAGAACAATTTGTTCCAACAGCCATGAAGGTAACTGAAGCAAGCAGTGTGGGATGCTTAGAGCTTTGTCAGACATCAAAGAAGCAACCAAGGTCATCCACTGCATGCTGCACCATCACCAGTCATCTTGACTTTTGTTTTGTCACTGGACTTTAATATCTCTGGAAGACAGAGTGAGACTGATGACTTTGGGCAACTCTGCCTCACTTAAATCAATTCATGTGCAAATCAAGACATTGTCTGATGTCTTTGGTTCTCTTCAGAAACAAACAACCATAAAAGCTCATTTCTCTTCAGAAACAAACAACCATAAAAGCTCATTTATTCATTCATTCATTCCTTAGAGTATCAATCAAAGGCTTTGCAAACTTTAAAGTACACATGTTAGTGGGTTTACAAAATAGAAACAATGATAATTTTCCTGCCTTCTTTACTGGGTTGTTGCCAGGATCAAGTGATGTAATATTACATGAAATTACTTTTCAAATTGAAAAGCAAAATATGTGTCAATTATCATTGTTTGAAAAAGGATTTTCAGTTTTTACCTACTAATTTAAGATCACTATATTTTTGGATCCCCAGAACTATGACCTAATAGGCATTTATTAAATACTTGTTGGTGTGACTTCACAAAATTCCAGGTCTTAAGGTTATTCTCACATTTTTTTTGTTATAGATTTGCCTCCTATTCCTTCCACTTCAAGAACAGGCTATGCAGAATTTTCCATGAGGGAAAGAATGAGAGAAAAATTAAAGGCTGCACGGGTAAAGATACATTAGTAATTTGCTCAATGCTGATTGCAATTCTATAGCTCCTCTCTAGCTCATTTGCTTAATGCTGCATGCATTTTAATATATTGGATTTATCTTTTGTGTTGCAAATGTCAACGTGATATTTTAGGTTGGCATAGATGATTATTACCCACAAGAAGAATTTTATCTAATTTTCTAAACAATTAATTTGATTCTCATTTACCTCTTAAGAGTGAAAACCTGACTATTTTTTACTGATTAATATCAACTCTGACCTGAGTGACAGACTCACTTTCCGTATTACTGACATGACATGCATAATGATTTCCTTTTTTACTTTTTTAGTCCAAAGCAGAAAGTGCTTTGCTGCAAGAAATCCCTAGCCCGAGACTCAGGCATTTTGTAAGTCTCAGAGAAGAAGTGGCTGGATTTGATGAAGAGGTGAGAAATGTAGCAGGCTTTCAAATCCTTTTGTTGTCATTAATAGACAAAGAAATATAATATTTGCATTTCATTAAAAAGTTCCTGTAACTATGCTATGAAAAGATGTCTAATGCTTTTTATTTTAAAAAAAATCTATTTTGTAGCTCTCTGGTCAGATAAATCTAAATAGGATCCAATAGAAAGACAGCAGGCTATGATTTCTTTTTTTTAAGTTTTAAAAATTCTATTGACATGCTATAGGATTTAGAATAGGAAGAGACTTTAAAATTATATAGGCCAATGCCTTCATTTTACAGATACAGAAACTGATGCCCAGAGAAAAGGATCAATCAGTAAGCACTTTTTAAGTGCTTACTACGCACTTGACACTGGGCTAGGCTCTGCAGACAAAAATCAAAAGACAATGTGTTCCCTTAAAGAGTCTACATCCTACTGGGCAGATAAAGTATTTTCACAGGTAACTTATCGTGGGATATATGCAAAATAAGTATAAGATGATCTTGGACACAAAGACTAACAACTTCCAGGATCAGAAAAGATCTCTTGAAGACATGACACTTGAAGAGAGCTAGGGAGGTGAGACAGAGGCAGAGATGACAAGGGAGAACATTGCTGGCATGAGCAATGGTATATACAAAGGCATTGAACCAGGAGATGGATTCTCATATAACAGGAGCAGCCAATAGGCCAGGTCAACTGGAACATAGAGAGCATGCAGCATGCACTAGGTCAAAGATGACATGAGATAGGTACCTTGCATTAAATCATATAAGATATTAAAACACAATCCTACAAAGGGCAATAAAGTGAATGACCCCCATTTTTCCTCTAATTCTATTTAAATCAATTCAAGAAATCTCCATTAAGTGCCTATAATCAAAAAGCACTCTGAAACAAAAATGGGTAAGAGACAATGCCAAGCATGGCCCAAGCTACTCACAATCTAGTTGGCAAAGATAAGGCTGAGACACTTGCTTCAAAATTTCAGTGTTGTGGGTGCTCCCTCCAGAAACACAGGGAGTCACCAGAATAGGATACATATGTGAACATAAAATAAATTATGCCAAGTCCACAAGAGGAAAATGGGTAGTGTGTCATGGCAGTAACCAAAAGGGAAAGGCTAGTACTAGCTGGATGCATTAGTGAAAGCTTCAGAGAGAATGTATCTTTCAAGCTGAACTCTAAAGGATGAGTAGGACTTCTATTGCTTGAACTATCGGGAACAGGCATTTCAGGGGTCAAAAATGGTGTAAATAAAGCCTTAAGACATGTCCTGGTTGCCTGGAGCATATAGCACATAAGGGGGATTGATTAGAAATAAGGCTGGAAATGAAGATTGGGCCAGATTATAAAAGAATTTAAATAGCAAGACAATAGGAGAGAGCATTGAAGATTTGTGAGCAATGGAGTGACATCATCAGACCAGCACAGCATTAGGAAGGTTGAATACAGGAGCAGCATTACACAGTGGGAAATAAATCCACAACAGTACAAGAATCTGGACCACTAGATGATGAAAATCTGAAGCCACACTAACTCATAAAGTTGTTCACTAAGAAATGCTCTGCATCATAAAAAGGAGTGCCTTCAGAGATGATAGCATGGACTTTGAGGTGTCAAAGTAAGAAGGACAATCATAACTAAAAATGCAGCTTCAGTATGAGTTGAAAGTGAAATGTCTGTCTCAGACAAAGTTAAAGCTAAAATAGATTTAATCAAAAGAGAAAAAGAGGGAAACTACACTATATGTCAGCCATGTAAATCAATACTGTGTTAGACTATTTAAAATAATTAGACAGTAGAAGGTTGGAATATTGCCATGGCATGGGAAATGACTAGTTGGTGGATTTGGAAAAATATGGAAAGACTCAGACTTATGGTTATCCACCCACAGAGAAACAGAGGACAAATAAGTATAGTACGGCCTTATATAGATACATATGAATGCATATCTCTTTTGAGTATAATTATAGATAACTAAGTATATGTATGTATATATGAGTGTAGGCATGTATGTGTATATGCATGCATATATCTTTGTGTGTGTGTCATGTGCACATATGTATACATATACATATATCTATATCTACACTTAATTGTAGCCTTCTGGGGCGGGGGGAAGAAAGGGAGGAGGAAAAGAACAAAGTAAAAAGTGCATGGTAGAGAACAAAAGAAAACCTACAAGGAAGCAAAGAATGTATAGTATTATATAGGCTTTCTGGAAATGGAAATTTATTGATGTATATTTTGAATCCTCTCTTACATTCTGCTGTGCACATGGCAATACTTTTCTTTTCTTTTTTGTATTCAAGTTTTAATATTTAAGTTTATAATATGTTTCTTTTTCTTTTCTTATTGAATACTTAAGTTTTAGTATTTCAGTTTAAAATAAGTTAATAAAAAAAAGAAAGCGAAATGTCTGGCTAATGGGTGACCCAATTAGGAGGCAGTAGTACTAATAGCTATGGAGGAACTACCACATGGATGAAAGATAAACAGGGAGGGGGGAGTAGAATAAAGGAGTTGGGGTAGTAAGCATATTTTTAATCAAATGGTAGGCTATTCTGAAATGATGGAGAAAATATAAATGTAAGCAATTATTGTGTAATCAAATGATCTATGATTATAACTGAAGCATTATTATTATATTGTGTCCAGTCAGATTCATGTTTGATGCATGATTGCTGATGTCAATATCTTATACCCAATCATATGATTATGTTTATTATGTTGATTCTGTAGTGGGGGAGGTGAGTGCTTTCTCTTGAGCAAACATAACAAGCAAAAGCAATAAAGCGTCACTTTGGCAGTTGCTTGTGCCCGGGGAATCCTTGGCTAGTCCTGAACAGCAGGGGACAGAACAGGAGAGGCAAGCTCCAGGGGGTCATTTGGGTCTGAGAGAATGACTTCATGGCATCTCTGAAAATCTGTGTGTTTGATCCCATTTTACACCATGAGACATTCATAGTGTATTCAGCATTACCTTTACAGGACTGTTATAAGAATCAAATGAGATGACATACACAAATCATTTTGCAACCCTTAATGGAGACGGTCTGGACTGCTGATTTCATTAGTATAGGGAACTCCAAGGTGAGGAAACTCCCTCTGCCAATGCAGGATGGAACCTTTTCTCCAACTTAAAGTCTTAGAGAATTGCAGACAATACTGAAGTGTTCAGTGAGTTACTCAGGTTCACACAGTCAATATACATCAGAGGCAGGACTAGAATTCAGAATTTCTGGCTTTAAGGCTGGCTCTCTATCTGCCTCTCTGCAGACCTTACAACTACAAATGGCAGCTAGTATTATTATATTTGATTTAATAGGCTATTTAGATATACTCCTATTGTGAACAAGAGTAAATAACCATATATTGAATGATTTTCCTTAAGGGTAGGTCCGAGCACAGCACTCCCCTAGGAAAGGGAAAAAGGATTTATTAAGCACCTGCTATGTTGTAGGCACCAGAGTAAGCACTTTACAAGTATTATCTCATCTGATCCCCATAACAACCCTGGGAGGTGGATGCTATTTATGATTCTTATTTTATAGTTGAGGAAACTGAGGCAGACAGAGGTTAAATGAATTGCCCAGATTTACGTAGCTAGTAAGTATCTGAGGGAAGATTTGAACTTGGGTCTTCCTGACTATAGCCCCAGTTCTTCGTGCACTATGGCACTGCCTAGATGCCTCATAATAGAGTATTCAGGAAACTCCAGTGGATTCCTATTGGCTCTAAGATAAATGAATAAGTAAACATTTATTAAGCACTCAACATGTGCTCTGGGTATACAAATAGAAAGGTAAGACTTCCTAAGCATTCTAAAGGGTTTTTAAAGATCTTTACAACCAGACTCTAGCCTATTTTTCCAAACTTATTATTTGTTAATCTACTTCTAGGAAGGTTGTGAGGTTCAGATGAGATAATGGATATAAAATACTTTGCAAATCTATATAAATTCCAGTTACTGTTATTATTATTAACCGATAGGCATCAGACCTCTAGTGATGATCTATTCTCTGAGCTTTCTACTGCACTCCTGCGATGTTTATAGGGCAATTGTAATCAAAATGGCCTTCTTGGTCCAATCAAAATTGATTTCTTGCTGTTCCTCATAGGTGGTGCTCTATCACCCATCTCTGTGCCCTTTTCCTGACTACCCCTCATGCCTTGAATACACTCAGTCCTCACCTCCACCTTGAAGAATCACCTACCTCCTTCAAGACTCACGTACCTGCTATAAGCACCAGCTTCTACATGAAGCCTGTCCTTTTCTCCACTGCTTGCCCCCTTTCTCCCTAAACCATCATGTATTTATTTTTGTGCATATTCTGTATATATTTATATATGTAGCTATTGTCTGCCCTGAAAAAATATAAACCCCTTGAAAAAAAGAGATTGGTTCATTTTCTGTCTTTGAATCCAGTGTGTGGGACATGTTCAGTTGTGTCCAACTCTTTGTGACCCTGTGGACCATAGCATGTCAATATCATCCATGGGGTTTTCTTAGCAAAGATTCTGTAGTAGTTTGCCATTTCCTTCTCCTGTGGATTAAGTTAAGTGATTTACCCAGGGTCACATCCCAGATTTGAACTCAAGTCTTCCTGTCTCCAGGCGCAGAGCCCTATACACTGAGCTATCTAGCTGCCTTCTGAAATATAATAGGCACTTAATAAATGTTATTTAATATGCTGGCTTAATTCATAGGATTGTAGGATTTAGTGTTGGAAGGGACTCTACAGATCAGTTAGTCTATCTCCCCGCAGGAGGACGCTGAAATCTAGAGAGGAGAACAGATCTGTCTTGTCATGTTCATACAGCAGTAAAAGAAAGATTCAAATCCTTTGACTACAAATCCAGGGTTCTTTCACATTCCCTTCCTTACACATCATTGCCTCTTTCCATATGAATCTTGTGAACACATCATATACAGCTAAGAGAACTGAGTGGTGGCTTAAAAAACATTCACTCAGTCAATCAGAAAATATTGATTAAGTACTTATTATGTGCTAGACACCGCACTAAGACTGGGGATACAAAGAAAGGCAAAAGAAAAAAGAAAAAGAAATCCTGTCCCTGCCCCAGAGGAGCTCACATTCTAATGGGGGAGTCAATAATAAATAAGAAAGTACATGCAGGATAATCTCTACAGAGTAGATGAGAGATAATCTCAGAGGGGAAGGCTCCAGCATTTGGGAGGAGTTCTGGGGTGGGGGGTAGGGAGGCAAAGACCAGGAAAGGCTTCGTGCAGAAGCTGGGAACACTCGGAAGACACCAGGAAAACAAAGGGAGAGATGTGGGAAAGAGCGCATTCAGGACTGGAAAACAGAATTTCATGTATGTGGGGTAGCTAGGTGGTGCAGTGGATAGTGCTGGGCCTGAAGTCAGGAAGATTCATTTTTCTGAGTTCAAATCTAGCCTCAGACACTTACAGGCTGTGTGACCCTGGGCAAGTCATTTAACCCTGTTTGCCTCAGTTTCCTCACCTGTAAAATGAGCTGGAGGAGGAAATGACAAACCACTCCAGTATCTTTGTCCAGAAAAACATATATGGGGTCACAAAGAATCATTCATGACTGAAAAATGACTGAACAACAATTTTATGACATCAGTAGGAAAATTAAAAAAAAGGAGAGGGATGGGACTGGGGGATAATGAGAATTCTGTTTTAGATAAGATGAGTTTAAGATGTCTATAGGAATCCAATTCAAGAGGTCTAAAAGGCTGCTGAGCCTATAACTCAGTAGAGATATTGGGGATAGATATCTAGATCTGGGAATTATCTTCATAAAAATGATAACCAAACTTATGACAGTAGATAAGCTCTGAGTGAGATAACATAGATTGAGAAAAAAGAAAAGCCCAGAACAGACCCTTGGGGGATACCCATCATTAATAGGCAGAACATAGATGAAGAACTAGCAAAAGAGACTGAGCAGTTGTTAGAACAATAGAAGAACCAGGAAAGAACAGAAGCATAAAAACTTAGGAAGGAGAGATTGTCCAGAGAGGGAAGTAAGACAACAGTTTAAAATACTGCAGAGAAGTCACAAAGGATCAGAACTAAGAAAAGGCTATATTTGATGACTCTACTTTCATTTACATTTGTGATTTTATAATTGCATTCATCCCTTAGGAATTACAATAATCAATAGTCAGGAACTAAGCCTTTTCAGGGGTTAACTTCTCCCTTCTCTAGTACCTTTTCAATAGTTTAAGGTTTCTTTCAGAACTGCAAGAATCTGTGTGGGTATTTCATCCACTCTTTTATTCCATCTATATGAGTATTTTATCCCCTCTCTTTTATTCTGTCTATGTGAGTATTTCATCCACTCTTCTATTCCATATGTGCAGGTATTTGATTCATTCTTGCAAATTGTAGCCTCCATCCCCACACCTACATTGCCTTACTAGCTAATCTTCATCAGTAGCAGTAGCCAAAACGATTCATCATTTCAGGGGCCAGACTTAATGATGATGAGACAATTGAAATTTAGCTCAGCTGGTACTCCAATGAGACAGAAAATTGGTAGACAAGTTTATACCTGTTTGTTTGTTCGTTTCTCTCTGATTTACAGGATCTGACAGAGCTTAGCTGGCACAGCCTTTAAGAATTTGGGGTCACCTCATTCCAGATGAGATATTGGAGAAGGACTTTAGTAGACAAGTATTCATTTAAAGGGCTTTTTTTTTAATGCAGCCCAGCAAAAATGTATTAAGGGAACCCCAAGAGGAAGATTCCCAAAGATCTACAAGAGTCAAGTTTCAAGATTCTGGGAGGAAGCCCAAGTTCAAACCACAGGTCAGAACTAGTGTGTTTTCCTTTGATGACTTTTTTTCTTCTTTAGGAGAGAGTAGGAAGACAATGAAACAATTACTCAGCTTTCAAGTTTCACATGCCATTCATCCCTGTGCATTGTTCTCTTCCTCATGTAAGGCTCAGGGGAGAAGAAATATTATATGGAAGAGTAGGTTGTACTGTATAGATACATTGGGTTCCTAAAGGTTAATTAAAAGTTATTATCTTGCCTACATATACTATAAACCAAAAAGAACCCACACAACCAAGGATGCAATTGGCCTTTATAAAATTGAATGTGTAAGGAGCTATATCTTACTATTAATTAAATCGAACTACTCTAGCATTTACCTATGAAATAGTAGTTCTTGGCATTTTGGAAATCACTGCTAAAATTATCAAGTCTCATGGCTACAAATAAAATATTTGTGTGGTTTAGAAAAAGCTTTTTCATGGTTCATGAAAAGTGAACTAATCAAAACTTGACCTATAAAAGAACACCTCGAGGCAATAAATTCCATTCATTAAAGTTCATTGTCTATAGTCCACTAACTTTTTGAGATACCAATCTTGTGTGGCGACTGGACCGTTATTACTACTGCTCACATAAAGATTGCTTTTAGTTAGTTGCTTATACTGAGGTTATTTCCATTTAAATCATCTAAAAACCCTGTTGCCTCCCTGTGTAGGTTCCCCCTGGATTCCCATCTGCAGAGGAAGCCTATAACTTTTTTACTTTCAATTTTGATCCTGAACCAGAAAAGGATGAAACAAAAGACAAAAAAAGAGAGGAATCTAATCAGGAGGTGGAAGAAGGGGAGGAAGAGGAAGAGAAACCAGCTCCTGAAGAACAAGTGGAAACAATGGTACAAAAATCACAATAATAATGACACCCTACCTAGGCAAAGGAGTGAATGGCTCAGAATAAATATCTCCCAACTGCTAGGAGAGTAAACCAGTTATTTCTTGATTGTAGGTCATTTCTGCATAAGAAGGCCACGTGATACTGCATTCATTTTATGTTAATGATAATAACTGACATTTTATAGTGCTTTAAATTTACAAAGCAATTTGCATACATTAGCTCCTCCAGCAGTTAGCACAGTGCCTGACACATAGTAGGTGCTTAATAAATGCTTGTTAACTGACTGATATACCTTGAAGATTCTTGCTATCACTTTACAATTTTTATCAGTAAATATACTGAATAAATCTGATCTTTTAAAAAAATTCATTTAGGAATACATTCTTGGAGGCTTTTTTTTTTTTAGTAATAACCCTGAATTAAAATTCAGTTCAGTGATTAGCATTTGTCTAGCAAGGAAGTGTTTCAGCCTTAAGAGACAAGAAAATGGCCTTTGTAGTTTTGCTTATAGTCCAATAGATTTATATACTTAAATATGATACTAAGCAAAGAGCCTCAGCCCTCTAATTATAAGTAGTCTATAAATCACAAAAAAAAACAAACAAACCCAAAACCATCTTTTGGCTAGTAGGCCAGCACTGGTGTCAGGAAGAACTAGCCTCAGGACCTGCCTGTGTCTTACCATAGACAAATCACTGACTTCTCAGAGCCCCAGGTAGGGCCAAGTAACAGAGAAATTGCTGATCTGCTTTGGTGGAAGGAGTTTCAGTACTGTGGAGGCTCTCCACACCAATAAAATCACAGATTGAGGCAAACCTGCATTCCCACATTCACCTACACATTATTCTTAGAAAGATACCATATCAATGACATAGTGACTCTCAGATCATAACAACTGTCATTGACATAAATCTTTATTTTTTTTGCTTTTTGGCAAGGTAATCAGGGCTAAGTGACTTGCCCAGGGTCACACAGCTAGTAAGTGTCAAATATCTGAGGTCAAATTTGAACTCAAGTACTCCTGTCTCCAAGGCCAGAGCTTTAACCACTGCACCACCTAGATGCCCCAAATTGTTTTTTGTTTTTTCTTTTTCTTTTGACTAGGCAATGGGGTTAAGTGACTTGCCCAGCACACAGCTAGTGGGTGTTATGTGTCTGAGGCCAGATTTGAATACAGATCCTCCTGACTCCAGGGCAGGTACTCTATCCACTGAGCCACCTAGCTGCCCCATACATAATTCTTTAAGGTTTACAAAATATTTTTCTAACAACAACCCTGTGAAGTAGGTAGAACATGTATTATCATCTCATTTTACAGATGAGGAAAACAGTTTCCTACAGGTTAAGTGATTTGCCCAGGATCACATAGCTACTATATCAGAAGTAGCATTTGAACTCAGACCTCCTTGTTCTAAACCCGCTGTTCTTTCTATTACACCACACTGCCTCTAGGCAAAGTGTACACCTTTTTTTTAAAAAAAAAAGATGCCTTCTACAAATTTAGAAGAATTCTTCATCTAGAGCAGCAAAAGAAACAGTCTTGGGCCACAGCTGAATTTTTGAACGGAGATCTGGTCTCTTTCGTCTTGGATTTCTTGTACAAACTCAATTCAATTCAACAGATTCTTTTTACCCAACTAGTAGAATACAAGGTACCTTGACAGGTTCAAAGGCAAAAGTGAGATACCTCCTGTCTTCAAAGAGTTTCTATTCTACTCAGAGATACAACATGCTAGGCATCTGGAATAAAACTTCACTGACTTTGTGTGCTGTTTGTACTGTATGCAACTCAAGAATATTTTTTCTTAGGCCATACTCATTACTCAAATCCCCAAATTTAAGAAAGATGCAGACCTAATTTTAGAGTGTCTAAACACTATCTCAGATTCATTTTTTTTCAGTTACTTTTATTTCAAGAATTGACAGTTTCTTTAGTAGCATGTTTCCCCCAGTGATGCAGGTCATAAATTTTCCATACCTTAACAGATCTGAAGTTGCTATTGCCAAAAATATTTTGACCTAGTAGTCAATCTTTTGGTGATGAATTTCTCTGAGTTTACCCAGTCCAATCCTCTCAGAGAATCCATGCAGTCTCTTAGCATGCTCCTACTATTTGAGTTGCCAGAGCTCAGACTTTGGTGAATGTACACTTCAAGACACCAGGTTCAGTGCTATTACATGAGGAGACACTAACTAGTTCATGACTGTAGTGAAAAATTCAAGTCTACAATTATGATAAGTCCAGAAGCCTCTGGACTTATATACTATAATTCATTAAGTTTCATAATTGGATAGAATCATAACAGTCATCTGGTCCAACCCCCTGGCCTAGTATGAAACTTCTTTCTAATATTTCTGACTTGAACTTAGAGACACACTGAGTTCCATATCTTCTTCACAGGACCAAATCACTACCTCTCTTGAACATACTTTTAAGTACTTTGGGCAAAAAATAGTTACAAGAACTTGGGAGTAAAGTACAGACTAAGCCTGAAAGTTTCATAGGAGGGCTCGCAGCCACAGATAACACTGAAATTATTAAAGCAACATGCTACATATATCCCTCATTTTAAGTGGGAAAATACAAATTTCCTAGCTAGTATTATATATAAAATAGGGAATAAATTCTTTGAAATGAATTAAAACTTTGAAGTTGAGGAATTTTGGAACTAGAATATATCGTGTTAGATGGTAGCACCTACTACCAAAGATACACACAAACATACACACCTATGTATGTAAATATATATATGTACATATGTATGTACATCCCAATTCCATTGGACACTGAAACTCAGACAAAAATGGGCAGAACAAAAGTTCACAGGCATGAAACTAGAACAAAATGGTGCCCAATTTTGAAAGAAATATCTGCGGCCTGAGGAAGTGAATGTAGGGCCTTAGCAATAGAGAGAAGAGCCACAAAGTCCGAAATACGCTGGAAGGAATATTGTGAACAGCTAGACAGGGATTTCAATTTCCAAGAGGCAAATGCTATAATGACCAACCTACAAGAAACATTTTTGAATCGGTGTAGGGAGAATTTATTCTAACAAACATACTTCCAGTTTTACAATACAAAGGAATGAAAAACTAGGGTTCACTTCATTGACATTTAGTTACAACCAAATTGGTTTAGATGTATGTATTCTATAAAGAAATGGATAGGGGCAGCTAGGTGGTGCAGTGGTTAGAGCTCTGGCCTTGGAGTCAGAAGGACCTGAGTTCAAATGCAACCTTTGACACTTATTAGCTATATGACCCTGGGCAAGTCACTTAACCCCAACTGCCTCACCAAAAAGCAAAAAAAAAAAGAAAGGAACGAACGAACGAACGAACAAACGAGCGAACGAACGAACGAAGGAAAAAAGGAAAGAAAGAAAGAAAGAAAGAAAGAAAGAAAGAAAGAAAGAAAGAAAGAAAGAAAGAAAGAAATGGATGCCTATGATATCAACAGTCAATTCTTTCCAGTGTAAATGAATGAAAACCTTTTCATGTCCCCAGAATGCTAGTATTTATAATTTAAATGACATATTTCAAATTTTAATTATTCATTTTTCTTACAAATCAAAAGTATGTCTTAGCATCTGACAGTAGTTCCAGTTTCCTGTGCTTTTAACATTTTAAGATTAATTACATATCTGAAAATTGTATTTAAAATAACTGTTTTACCTGAAGATAATTAGTCAACTCTTTACTTTCAAATTTAAAGAGCGGTAATTCACAGAAGCTGTACTACAATGCTGTCTTTGGGGACTATACCACCCTGAGGAACTGTCTTAATGTAATGAGGTCTCCTTAGAACTGCAGTAATTGAATTAAACCCCCATTCATGGGGCCTGAGACTTAACACTGAATTCTCCTCTATAGCAAACAGATTATAGTAATGTTACAGGATGCTGATTACCAGCAGACATTGTAATATTAACTTTTTTCTTCTGATTTGTTACCATTAATTTTTACCTCTGTGATTTAAGCATAAAAACACAAAACTTTAATTTCTCTATTAGATTATGCCGACACTAAATTTGGGAAATTACAGTGAGACTAAGGAATATTTTGTCAGAATGTATGGTTATCTCTCATGAACAAACCTCGGAGTATTATAATGCACTCCTCCCCTGGGGCCCCAAAGATCCCTCATTTCCCTCAGTGTTCTATTGTGGAACATCACCTATAAACATAGTTAATCCTGCATTCACCTTTTCATCATATTGGCCTAGACCACCTCTTAGGGCCACAAGATTCCTAAGTTAATTGTGTACCATAGAAATATTTACTTTCTTTGCTTTGTCCTAAAACTACCTCTTTCAAGCTTTAGGTATTTTCCTTCTGATTCCTGAATTCTAGAATTTGGTGAATGAGTCCCTATCAGAACCATTCATGACTTTGGAGATTTTGATTGTGCATCTCTCACTCTTTCTTTTTCCCTGTCAAAGATTTCTAATCTTTGTAGTCTTTCTCTCTCTCTCTCTCTCTCTCTGTCTCTGCTTCTCTCTCTCTCTCTCTCTCTCTCTCTCTCTCTCTCTCTCTCTCTCTCTCTCTCTGTCTCTGCTTCTCTCTCTCTCTCTTTCTCTGTCTCTGCTTTTCTCTTTCTTTCTCTGTCTCTGCTTCTCTCTCTCTTTCTTTCTCTGTCTCTGCTTCTCTCTCTTTCTCTCTCTCTCTCTCTCTCTCTCTCTCTCTCTCTCTCTCTCTCTCTCTCTCTCTCTCTCTCTCTCTCTCTGTTGCTCTCTCTCAGCTTGAAGCTTGGGTAGCAAAAGCCTCATGGCAGGAAAATGGAAAAGTTCAGGAGTAATTAGAATATACTAGGTCAAAAATCAATAGTAACAGGCACAACCTGCAGGCTAAGTGGTGTAATTTTTCCATTTTATTACTACAGGCTTCTTAAGAAGCTTTGAAAAATAAACAATCTCTTCTCAAAGGAAGTATGGCTCATTGAATCCCACATCTCCTATACTTTTATTTTGTGGGGTTTTTTTTTTAAATACAGACATATCCATCACAAAGGGGACTTGATGACATCCACTGGCAATAACATCATTAATACTTCATAACCATGACCCAATTCAAAGTTTTGAAAAACAGCTGTGATGTTGTTCTGATGGTAACCTGTCTATATATGTGTATGTATATGAGAGCTATAATTCATAATAATGATGATGATTATAAAAGGCATTGGAATCGGAGGCAACAATTAAGCTTAAGCTTTTTAAAAAACAAAATAGGAAGAGAACTCAGTGTGAGATATGTTAAAACTTATTAATTTATAAAAAGAATTCCTTGTCTAAGAAAACTAATAGCAAAATACAGTATGAACAAAGTTTTTTTATTTAATGCAATTATAGGATGAAGAGGAGCTTATTAATGAGAAAGAGGCTGACGACTTCTTGCTTGACTTAGATCAGACCACCCATAATTTTCTGGCAATAAGAGCTGCAGAATATGAAAGCATCCATGTAATAAAGCAAAAGGAAAAGGAAATTCTCTTCAGACCCAGTTCTCATACAGGTATTGGATATTTCTACTTTGTCTCTCTTGCTTGTTGATCACTTTCTTGAAAACAAAATGTGGATTGCACAGAATATAAAAGGGATGCCACTGCATCTACTCCTTGCCTACACTCAGCCTTTGTCTCACTGTAGACACAAAATATCTGTCCTACTTTTCAAATATTCATATTCCAAAAAAACCTCACTTAGTAATGTTTTCCAGCGTTCTAAAAACACTATAGTCTGGTGATTCTTTTCTCTTTTTAATTAAAATCTCTCAGGTTCAAACGGACTAGTCCTCTTCATATTTCTATAGTCATAAATTATTCCAAGGAAATTTCACTCAAGAAATTAATTTCAGCATCTATTGGAAGACAAAGGAGAGGCATCCCTTGTTGATACTTTAAGAAAGATCTCTTGAAAATTTAATCAACTTTTGTGATTTCAGACAAGAGGAGGGAATGAGATGACTTTTGGAAAAGGTGAATTAGAGCTTGAGAGAGAGATCAGACTTGAATACATTGATTTGTGAGTCAATTGCATAGAAGCTATGTAAACAGATAACTCTCAGAGGGAGAAATTGAACAGACAGAAGAGAAGAGGGAAGACAGAATTTTGGGGAATGTCTACATTGACGGGACATAACAAGAGACAGTAAAAGGTGGCAGAAGATGGAAGAATACATGATAGAGATAAGAGAATAAGTATAGTATAGTTCCATGGAAACAAAGAAAGGAGAGAAGGTAAGGATGGATATTCCACAGGTCAGTCAAGGAGGTCCTTAGATCACAGAGGACTGAGAAAAGTCCATTCAATTTAATGACTAGGAAGTTTGTGATGAAGTCAAATGAGAAGATACACTGAAGAAATGGGGGCAAAAGCTATATTCTAAGGCCTTAAGAATTAGTGAACAGTAAGGAAAGGGAAGTTGTGAATACAGAAGATTCCTGCATTGAATAGAATGCTGAACTAATTAATCACTAATGTTCTTTTTGGTAATCAGTTCTATAAATGGTAGAACACTGATGAGCATTTACCTGGTTGACAGATTTTAGCTTTGATAGATAAGCTATTTCTACTTGCTTTCCTAAGATTTAAATAACTAGTGGATAGTTTATTCTCATTTAAGTTAGTTTTAAAAATCTTCCTACAAATATAATAAAACACACATTCAGTTTAACAGCCTAAATGATTTACAACATAAATTTCTAAAGACCAATGTTTAAGAACAATCAAAACTCATGCTTGATGAATTCTTTTTAAAAGAAGAAAAATTACTATGACTGCTTCTGATTTCTAACCCATTTTATCTTTTTCCTTGAAAAACTATTTTCATCTCTGAGAAAAAGGGGAATGAAAAAAAGCCAGAAATATTCATTACCAGATGGTGTGTTACAGTGATTGATTATCATGAGGGAACACTTTTTTCTCAGTCTTTGTACTTTGAAGTATTTCATCAGCTCAGTTACAAATTCATATTCCTTTCTTTCTCTGTGACTCCTTTTTCTTCTATCATCTCTGCCTGAAAATTTAGCTCTATAAGAATTCCAATAAATGTAGAATCATGTTAAAAGAACAAAGTTTCCCTTTTACATGACATGTTGAATCTCAGATATTCAGAAAACTATAACTTCTTAATCATCCCAGTATTCCTTTAGAATAGATCGGTAATTGGAAGAGAGTTACGTGAGAAGCCCAGAAAGTTTGTGAAGCTAATTATAGATGTGGGAATGGATGATATCTCTAAGAGGGAAGTGAAGAGAAAAAAGACAGATCGGAGGATAGTGTCTTGGGAAATGCCCACAGAGGAAGGAAACTGAAGGCAGAGATAAGAGTGTTGTCTTAGACCAATCTCTAAGGAGACTTAGAGTTCTTTGTTGTTCCTCCTACACCATTAGGTACTTCTAGAGTCCAGCGTAAATGACACTGGAGAGTAGGGGTCTGCTTAGGATCTGGGCAAGGTTCTAGACTAGAGGAATGCTGAGGAGGCAGGTCAGTAGGGAACACCACACAAGACTTCTGATTTGCTGAAGAGGACCCCAGAAAGCTAGATTTGGTTTGGATCTGAGTTCTTCTTAAAGAACACTGGAGACACTGTGGAAGAGACTGAGAGTACAGAGAATGAGGGTAGTTTAGGTTCGCCATGGACTGCCTCTTTAAAGTGGGCTGAAAGAAGAATTTAGAAACCAAGGGGAGAATATTCCCATTTTTTCCTGGCCAACTGGAAAATTTTGAAGAATAGGGTTAGTTTACATCCTTCCTTTTCCTTCCCCTCTCCCCCAGACTTTTACATCACTATCTACATATATCCTGAATCAAAGCAACAGTCACAGGATTCAGGGATATTATTCAGAGCTTCTCTGTTACATTAATGTTCTTACCTGCTCTAGTCCCCGAGTTACTAGTATGTAACCAATAGGGCATCCACTAGGAGATTTGAATATTTAACAAGAAAAGATGCCATCTGACTGTAAACAGTATCACTTGCAGCAAAATGTGGAACAACAACATCTCACATTGTAAATCAAGATAAGGTGAAAATTCATACATAATTAACATATAAAGGGTGATGCCATAAACAAATTAAGAGAGTGTGTAATAGTTTATCTGTTAGATTTACAGAGAAGGGAAGAATTTAGGACCAAAGACTATATAAAGAGCATTGCAAAATGTAAAATAGATAATTTTGATTGTATAAAATGTAAAAGGTTTTGCACAAACAAAACCAATGCAACCAAAATTATAAGGAAAGCAGAAAACTGGGGGGAATTTTTGCAACAAGTATCTGATAAAAGCCTCACTTCTCAAATATATAGAGAACTGAATCAAATTTATCAAAATACAAGTCATTCTCCAATTGATAAATGGTCAAAGGATATGAACAGGTAGTTTTCAGACACAAAGAAATCAAAAGTATTTATAGTCATATAAAAAAATGCTCTAAATCACTATTGACCAGAGAAATGCACATTAAAACAACTCTGAGTTACCACCTCACACATATCAGAGTGACTAATATGACAAAAAAGGAAAATGTTGGATGTTGGAGGAGATGTGGGAAAACTGGGACACTAATGCACTGTTGGTAGAGCTGTAAACTGATCAACCATTCTGGAGAGCAATTTGGAATTATGCCCAAAGGACTATAAAACTGTGCATACCCCTTGATCCAGCAATATCACTGCTAGGTCTATAGCCCAAAGACATATAAAAAAAGGGAAAAGGACCTATTTATACAAAAATATTTATAGCAGCTCTTTTTGTGGTGGCTAAGATTTGGAAAATCAAAGGAATGTCCATCAACTAGGGAATGGCTAAACAAACTGTGGTATATGCTTGTAATGGACTTGTAAGAAATGACAGGCAAGATGATTTCAGAAAAACCTAGAAAGACTTACATGAATTGATGCATAGTGAAGCTAACAGAACAGGAGAACATTTGTACACAGTTAACAGCAATATTGTTCAATGAAAAACTGTGAATGACTTTAACTATTCTCAGCAATGCAATGATCCAAGACAATTCCAAAGGACAAATGATGAAGCATACTACCTGCCTCCAGAGAAAGCACTGATATTGATTGAATACAGACTAAAGCATGCTATCTTTCACTTTCTTTCTTTCACTTTTTTTCTTTTATTCGAGTCTTCTTGTACAAAATGACTAATATGGAAATGTTTTACATAATTGCACATGTATAACCTATATCTGATTGCTTACCATCTCAGGAAGGGAAGAGGGGAGGGAGGGATAGAATGTGGAACTCAAAACTTTGAAATGTTAAGAAAAAAAGTTTTAAGCTTGTCAAACAGAAAAAGAATGTAGGACCACACCTAGATTGCCTCACCACAAAATGGTCATTCATTCATTCATTCAGGAAGTATTTATTAAAAATTTGCTGTTCCAGGCACTAAGGAATATACAGAGATAAATAAGGTATGGTTCCTGCCCTCAAGAAATTTCAATCTATTTATAACAGTATGGAGCAGTATTTAAAGGGGAAAAAACAGAAAGTATAACAAATATCACAACCTGAAGATACCATGGAGTTCATCTGGCTCAACCCCTTCATTTTACAGATGAGAAAAGTGAGTCAGAAAAAGTTAAAATGACTTGCCGAAGGTCACACTGGTAGCATATTGGACAAGCAGTGAATTGACCATCTAAAAATTTAGGAGACATAGAATGGGAACATGCATTTATATAATTTGATATTATGAATCTACACATTTAGCTTTTTATTATATCAATTCTAGAAAATTAACTTGGAAAAATATACTGTTTTAAAAGAAATAGCAAATCATGTCTCAGGTCATCATAAAATTTAGAACAGCTTAATAGACTAACAATGGTAATAACAACTGCGTTTATACGCTACTTAATGTTTTCAAGTCATTTTTTGCATATTATCTCATTTGTCCTCATGATATGTCTTTACAGTATATTATTATTCCCATTTTTCAGATGAAGAACTCAGAAGAGATTAGTGATTTGCCTTAAAAAACACAAGTATCGATCAAGGGATCTGAACTCTTTCCTGATTCTAAATCCATCTCTCTTTCCACTATACCATACTACCTCTCAATAGACTATCTCTTTAATAGAATATCTCTTTCTATAGTTTGAAAGCTCAGTATGATATTGATTTTTTTCTACCTAGTGCCTATTTATAAAAAAATCCCTGAAAATATGCAACCAAGATACCTTGAAGATGAAGGTCTTTACACTGGAGAAAGGCCAATGGTCCCTCAAATTAATGAAAACATTATGGAGAATCGATTGCTGATACAGGAACCAGTAAGTAATCAGTATCCATACAAGCTAATACAAGTATATATTTATGTAACATATATATGGAATCTCAATAGCACTCATCATTCCTAATTTTACATAGCTAGTAAATTTTGTATATTTATCTTTTTTTGCATGGGAAGATTATAGTCTTATATCTAAATAAAGTTTACTTTTCATGTCATAGTCAAACTTCCTAGTTTTGTATTTTTTTAATTCAGTTTTATTTTCTGTACCAAATTCTCTCCTCTCCTCTCCTCCCTGACCCATTGAGACGTAAGAAAAAACAAAACCCATTACAAGTATGTAGTCTTGCAAAACAAATTCCCACATTAGCTATGTCCCAAAAAATACTCATAAAGGAAAGAAAAAGAAAAGAAAGAAGGAAGGAAGAAAGAGAAAGAAAGAAGGAAGGAAGGAAGGAAGGAAGGAAGGAAGGAAGGAAGAGAAAGAAAGAAGGAAGGAAGGAAGGAAGGAAGGAAGGAAGGAAGGAAGGAAGGAAGGAAGGAAGGAAGGAAGGAAGGAAGGAAGGAAGGAAGGAAGGAAAAGAAAAAGAAAAGGAAAGAAAAGATGCTTCAGTCTGAACCAGGGTGGAGGGAACCTGTGGCCTCAAGGCCACATGTGACCTTCTAGGTTCTTAGATGTGGTCTTCTGACTGAGTCCAAGTTTTATAGAACCAATCCTTTTATTAAGGAGATTTGTTGTGTGAAGTTTAGATTCAATCAAAGGGCCACACATGAGGACCTAGAGGGCCATATGTGACCTTGAGGCAGCAGGTTCCCCATCCCTTCCAGGTCTGAACTCTCAGTCCACTACTTTTTATCTGGAAGTAGATAGTGTATTTTGTCATATTTCTTTTGGAATTGCGGTTGGTCATTGTGTTGATCAGAATTATTAAGTCTTTGAAAGTTAACTATCCTAATAGTGTTGTCATTATTATTATAAATTATTCCCCTAGATGTGTTCAATTTGATTTCCAATAATTCATACAAATCTTTCCAGGTTTCTCTGAAACCATCCCATTCATCATTTTTTACAGTAAAATAGTATTCCATACATTCGTATACTATAATTTATTCAGCTATGCCCCAATATTGGGCATGTCCTCAATCTTTAATTCTTTGACACCAAAAAAAACTGTCATAAATTTTTTGTGTATGTGGGTTCTTTTCATCTTTATTTAATCTCTTTGGGGTAGCAACCTACTGGCAATATCACTGGATCAAAGGGTATAAACAGTTCAAAAGCTTTTTAATTACTCTCCTGAGTGGTTGGACTATTTCACAACTCCGCCAACAATGTGTTAAAGTACCTGTTTTCCCACAGCCCATTCAGCATTTGTTTCTCCTTTTTTTTTTATCGATTGTGTCAATCTGATGGTTGTGAGATAGTACGTCTGAGTTATTTTAATTTTCACTTCTCTAATTAATAGTGACAGAGCATTTTTTTTTCACTTGGCCATTGATAGCTTGGATTTCTTTCTCTGAAATTGTTCATATCCTTTCACTGTTTATCTTATTCCCATAATTTGATTCTATTGATTTGATCCTATGTATTTGATCTATTGATCTATTTGAGCCTATGTATTTTGGAAATGAGATTTTATCAGAGAAACTTTTTTCAAAAAAAGGTTTTTTTTCCAGTTTCCTGCTTCTAATTTTAGTTTAATTGGCTTTGTTAATGTGAAAACTTTTTAATTTTCTGTAATTAAAATTTTCCATCTTACCTTCTGTGAATCTCTGTAGTTCTTATTTCATCATGAGGTCTTCCCCTATCTACAGAACTGACAGGCAACTTCTTCCAAGCTTTGTTTATGATGTCACATTTTATGTCTAAATCATGAACCCATTGGAAGCTTATGTAAGGTGTGATATTGGTCTATATCTAGTTTCTGCCAGAGTCCTTTCTACTTTTCCCAACAGTTTCTGTTGAATACTGAATTCTTGTCAGAATAGCTAGGATCTTCAAGTTGAGCAAACATCATATTGCTGTGTTCATTTGCTTCTGTCTTTCACTGATCAATCTCTCTATGTCTTAACTAGTACCAAATTGTTTTGATGACTACAGCTTTATAATTTAGTTTGAGATCTGTTATGGTTAGGCCCATTTTCTTCTCATTTTTTGGATATTCTTGATCTTTTGTTCCTTCATGTGAATTTGATTATTATTATTATTACAATTCTATAAAGTAACCCCTTGCTAGTTTTGGGGTGGGGGTATGGCACTGAATAAATGAATTAGTATAAGTAGTATTGCCATTTTTATTATATTGGCTCAACCTACACATCAGCAACCTTTTCTGTATTTCTAATGTTTATTTGGTTAAAATTTATTTAAAAAATTACTTTAATGAAATAGAATACATAGAATACAATAGAATAACTATACAATAGCATACAGTAGTATAGCTTTGTTAAGACCTATCTTTAGGTTCTTGTTCCATGTTTTGCAAAATATTCCATTTGAGAGTAGTAAAAATTGGTTACAGATCAAGACTAAAATTTTAATGGGAAAAATGCTTGAAGTTTTCTTTCTAGGAGAGGAAATACCAAAAATTATGTCATAAGATATGCATATTTGACATTAAGTTGTTCTGGAAATATTGTCATTTCGTAAATCACTTCCATATTACAGAAATAAAAATATACTCCCTTTGCTCATCTCACAGGAGAGAAAGTGGTTTGGTGATGATGGCAGAATCCTAGCACTCCCTAATCCAATTAAACAATTTTGTACAAGACCACCAATATTCTCACCAGGAGAAGGCATGGAAGCAGGACTAGAAACATTATATAAAAAGGTAATAACAGTTTCACATTTTAAAACTATCCCAGCCTTAATGTTCCTTTCCACAAAATATTCAATATTGGAATATTTATTAAGCTCTTACCATGTCTTAAGGCATGTTAGAGTATTAAGACTTTAATACTCTAACAGCAAAAATATTAGGGAAGAAAATGGAAGAGACATAATTAATCAACAAGTATTTATTGTATATTTTGCTTAAAAATACATATATTTGCATAGTTATAATCATTGTGAATTTACAATCTTGTGTTCTTGCTTGTTTTATTTTACTTTATTTCATATGAACATTATTATGTATTGATGTATGCTACATATTTTCATTTTTAATAGTTCTACTGTATTAAATATGGTATAATGGAAAAAAACCACTGGACAGTTAACCAGGAGACTTAAGTCCTAGCCTCAAGTTCTGCCAGTCATTGTGTGTTCTTTTAAAAACTTCTTAATTGGTACAGGCCTCAATTTTTTTATTTCTAAGATAAGAGGGTTAAAGTAAAGGAATTCTGACATTCTAAATCTATTTAGTGATGTATGCAGATCCTTTTATGGCATCAACTACTTTCTCCAGCCAAGAATTAGAAATAGCAGTAAATAGAAACACAGCTTCTATACTCCTAGCCCCTCTATAAACTGATCAAGAAAAAGTACATCATAATTTAATACCAGTCCTTAATAAGATAATAATGTCTCCTCTATATGAAGTGCTTTATGATGTATAAAGAACCTTCATATCCACTATTTCCTTTGATTCTCACAGAGACCCTCTAAAGTAGCTAGGGTACATGTAATTGACACCATTTTGCAGCTGAGAAAACTGACCCTCAGAGAAGAGTAATGACTTGCTTAAGAGTTCCCTCAGTAAGTAGCGGATTCAAGATTTGAACCCCTGTCTATTGACTTCCAGGCCAGTGTCCTTCCACAGTACCATGTGGCCTACTCTAGACTGATACTTAACCAGTGGACTTCCATACTACACTAAAGATCACTTTCCAGAGCTTGGAATAATTTGCTTTTCAAGTATTTGAATTCAGAACCATAACCAAACAAGTGAATAATACTGACTTTCAAGCAAGTAGCTTCTATATAAAAGTGACAGTTCAAGGTGCTGGGGCAGCTAGGTGGCACAGTGAATAAGAGCCAGACCTGAAGTCAGGCAGACTCAGCTTCCTGAGTTCAAATTTGACCTCAGACACTTACTAGATGTGTGACTCTGGGCAAGCCACTTAACTCTGCCTCAGTTCCTCATCTGTAAAATTAGCTGAAGGAAATGGCAGACCACTCTAATGTCTTTGCCAAGAAAACCCCAAATGGGGTCACAAAGAGTCAGACAAGATTGAAAACAATTGAACACATGCAAGGTGTCCCAAAAGGCTAAGTGTAGTTTTAAGTTTTACCAACTTCAGAAGTATATGTGCTACACATCTTCAGAAACTATCATTTTAAGGGTTTATTATGTAAATTTTTAAAGTATTGACATTTTTCTTATTTAACCATCAACTTACGATTACACATTGCGCTAGTTGATCTTCTAACTTTGTAAAAACTTTCATCTGCTTCTACTCAGTAACAGAAAACATTACATTTGTAATTCTAGTCTTAAAATCTTCCAGAGATGAAGCATACTAGTTGCCTCCTGAGAAAGAACTGCTATTGAATACAGACTGAAGCATGCTATTTTTCACTCATTCTTTTTTTTTCTTTTATCTGAGTCTTCTCGTACAAAATGACTAATAAGGAAACGTTTTACATAATTGCACGTGTATAACCTATATCTGATTGCTTAACATCTCAAGGAGGGAGGGATAGAATTTGGAACTCAAAACTTTAAATGGGGGCAGCTAGGTGGCACAGTAGATAGAGCACTGGCCCTGGATTCAGGAGGACCTGAGTTCAAATCCAACCTCAGACACATAACATTTACTTGCTGTGTGACCCTGGGCAAGTCACTTAATCCCATTGCCTAGCCAAAAAAAAATCTGATTTGGGAGCAGCTAGGTGGCACAGTGGATAGAGCACCATCCCTGAAGTCAGGAGGACCTGAGTTCAAATATGGCCTCAGATCAAACAGTTGACACTTACTAGCTGTGTGACCCTGGGCAAGTCACTTAATCCCAATTGCCTCACAAAAAAAAAAAAAAACTTTAAATGAAAATGTTTTTAGAAAATCTTCCAAAGAACAAGGTTCTGATGCATACACAACAATTTTGATGTGACCACACACACACAAGAAAAAGTCTAATGGAGACAGATCAGGTAACCAGGGTGGCCTGTAAGGAAGAACAAGTCAGTAGACCTCTACTGATTCACTAAATGAGAAACTGTAGCACATGGACTGCAGGACAGGATGTCCCATCTTGTTCAAGTTAAAAATGTATTTTTTAAAAATCACAAAATATGTGCAAAAATATAAATAATTAAACTTTCAAATGATATTTTTGTAAGTTTGTAGCATTTTTACTTCTGGAATTATTAAAGCTTAAAACTGCTCCTGGGTAGCCCTTTATGTGGAGTGAGATTAGTGGTTTGGGGGAAGGCTTGTAGACACCACACAGTATTGGTTCACCAAATTATATTTTCAGTCTTCTTCTTCATAGCTCAGTTTCTTCAAGACACAGAAGTCTAACTTCTGTTTAGTCAGTAAATTTAAAGATTGAACACCACTCACAGAAATGTTATTTTTTTTTAAATCTGTATGTTCTCAACACTTCCTCTCCCTCATGGCTCTCTGTTATTTCTAGGAAGCTCCTGTTATTTTAATGACTTCCCCCAGAGTCATTGGTTGGCAATTATTTGGTGCCTGTTTCCATTATTTATTTGTATCATTAGGATATTCTCACAGCTCTGCAATTAAGAAAGCAGCAAATTTTTAAAATAATGCCTTCCTTCCTCCACTCCTTACCTCAGTTCTTTCTTCCCTTAACCCTGAGTATAGAACACGTTTTCTCCTGAAATCTGGCCAGATCCTCACCATTATTTGAAAGCTGCTTAGCAGAATAAAAAGAAGACTAAACTTAGAATCCCAGCTCTACCTGGGTGACCTTAGACAAGTCACTTAAATTCTTGGTGCCTCAATTTTCTTCCTTGTAAAATGAGGGGATTGAACTAGATGATTTCCAGGTTTGCATCCAGCTCTAAATGTATGATTCTTTGATCTTGTGATCCATATACCCCCAAGTGGTTGAAAATGAAATCTGTTTTCTGAGCTATCGAATGAGATGTCTTGGACCTATAAAAAGACTGAAGAAAACTATTACTTTGGCAACAATTTCAGGAATCTGGTTGACCACAAAGAAACTTCTTACTCTATTCACCTCCCTTATGATCAGCAAAATTCATCGTGCATTTGACACACACCATAAGACCTTGATTCTTTCTTATCATAACTATCGAGTTTAATATTGTATTCACTCAAGAACGTGGTTTGGCAATGGTCCCAGCTCTATTAATTTTTTTTTTACTCACTTGAGAAAGAGAATGGAAAAATACTAATAAAATCTCTTTCTGTTACTAAATCAGAAAGCTTTAACAAATGCCATTGAAGATAAAGAACTACAAGAAATGTTTTATGTTGGAGAAGGGATTAAGTTCAGTTTAGGGAAAATGCAAATTAATATATCTTGGGGAAAACAATGAAAAAAAATCTAAGAAAAAAATAATATTGAGACTTTGAGAATAATATTAAGCAATGAATATAAAATATAACTCACTATAACTGGTGTTAGAAGTGTCTACAAATCCTCCAAAGAGCTCTGCTTTCAGAATCCCAATCTGGATTTGGATTCCCAATATTTAGACCAATTTCTAGCATGTGCAAGTTTTTCAACTTTCTGATTAACCCAATGAGAACTTTGATTTCCCAACCTCTTAACATTCTTCATTTTTATTTGTTTGTTTCTTCTGTTAAGGATTTTGTAATTTCCCAGTGCTTTTATTTTAAACATGTTAGGAAGTATTATTTTTCCCTTGTAGTAAATATATTGGCAAGTATCTGAGGCACTTTATGCACCTACTAGTTTCCTAGTGGAACAATTCTGGCACTAGGTTTTGTTTTTTGGGGTTTTTTTTCAGTTTTGAATTGAAAACTGAATACTTAGTTTTATTTCAACACCAAAACAATATATTTCCTAGATAACATTTCATCCAGGAAGAAATTCTCTCTGTCTCAATCCAATCCTTTTTTTAATGGTAGCTTAGGATTAGATGACCTAAACTCCAGGCTGAGATCACAGCAAATTATTAAGATCTGAGGTCATGTGGATTTGGGTACAATGAGGTAAGATGTGAGTATCCTAGGTAACCAAATGGAAAAAGAATAAATAAAACAGCAATTCTAAAAGTTACTTTAACTCATATCTGGAGTGCTACAGAATAGGCCTTGAGAACACCAACCAAAAATGTTCCTGTAAAATTTGTAAGCCAGCTAGTTTTTTAAAAAAGCCATCAAACAGGGAAAGTGGAAAACAGAATTCTTTTAGTCCAAGTAAGGAATAGATCAGTTAGAGTGGAATGTCTCTTTTTGGTCTGAATTTTGAGATTTATCTGGAGATATTTGTATAGGAAGTTTAGAAATTTAGTTACATGTGACCACATACATTTTTGCAGAGAACAAAAAAAAAAATCTGGCAGCTGTATCTTGCAACTGGACAGGATTTAATACCTTGAACCCAAATTTAAGAGAGGATACAATGGAAGATACCTTAACAGAAATAGGAAGGGGGTCCCAGACTATGCCTATATGACATCCACAACAAGTATTAATAAGTAAGTGATCCCTGTAATGCCATGAGATAATTTCATAAAACATGGATGTAGATGAAATGGAATCTTTATTGGGGTGTTCTTTTCTCAGTGTAAATCATATGGGTATTAAATTTGTTGTACCAATGGATACCAAGGTCCACTTTAGTTATGTAAACCTCAACTGACATCCTCAGTAAAGTTTGAGGCAAGAGGAAGAGGGAATGGTTCCAGAACCAAGTTGGAGTCTAGGACGATATGGGGATACTTGTGCAGACACTCGAACACACACAACATACTCACCATAGTTTTATAAATCAATGTTCAAAAAGAATGTTGTGCGACTATGAATTTATATCCTTTCTATCTATTTCCACTCATTAATTCAATTCTTCATATTCCAACACATGCACCAATTGATAATATTCTTGCTATCTGGCACACATAACATTAATGGCAATAACCCTGCAATCATTTGGAGAGAAAAGATAAAACAACTCTGAAGTGAGATCAGCTTGGGAGCATAGGAGGGTAAAGTCAGTGGAAAATGAGCTGTATTTCAGGTTCTGTCCTAATTTTTCACATCAAGGCAACAAGCCACATGAACTTGCATCTCTGGACCTCTGTTTCCTCATCTGTAAATGGAGTTGGACTAGGTGACTTCTCAAGTCCTTCCTGGTTCTAAATCTAAGAATTTTATGAACTAAAATTGCATTCAGAACTCTAAGTTCATTCACAGCAGCTATTAAATTTTCTGAAATATCTCTGAAGTTTTTTCCCTCAGAAACAATATACATTCGTGCATTTTTCTTGTCTTATTTACATTGAACATATTCTCTAGTCCACTCTCTTATATTATGTAGTTCCTGTTTGTTTATTGGCAGGTAGATTTTCAAGTATTTTATATTTTCTTTAGTTATTTAAAATGGAATTTCTCTTTCTATCTCTTCTTAATGGATTTCATTAATAATATACAGAAATGTTAACAGTTTATATGAGTTTATTTTATATCCTGAAACTTTGCTGATGTTAATTATTTTGATTATCAGTTTTTTAGTCCAGTATCTAGGGTATTCTAAGTAAATGATCATATTATCTGCAAAAAAAGCAATAATTTGTTTCTTCTTTGTCTATCCTTGCTTGTTTCCTCAATTCATCTTGTTGCTATGAATAGCATTTCTAGCACTGTTTTGAATAGTAATGATGATCATCAATATCTTCACTTTACCTCTGATCTTATTGGAAATGCTTCTAGTTTATACCCATTATAGACGATATTAGCTCTTGGTTTTAGATAGATAGATTGTTATTGTTGTTGTTGTTCAGTTGTTCAATTGTATCCAATTCTACATGACCCCATGGATTTTTTTTTCCCATGAGGTTTTCTTGGCAAAGATACTGTGGGTCCCATTTTACAGATAAGGAACTGAAGCAAATAAGGATTAAGTGACTTGTCCAAGGTCATAAAGCTAGTAAATGTCTGAGGCCATATTTGTACTCAGATCTTTCTGATTACAGGTCTGGTGCTCTCTCCACTACAACACCTAGATGCCCCTTTTGATAGATACCATGTAGTAATATAAGGAAAGATTGATTTATCCTGTGTTTTCTAGTGTTTTTAACAGGAAGGGTTCTTACACCTTATCAAGAGCTATTTCCACATCTATTGATATAACCATATGATTTGTTGTTGTTCATGGTATTAACATGGATAATTATCGTTGTTCAGTCATTTCAGTAGTGTCCAATTCTTTGTGGCCCTATTTAGGGTTTTCTTGGCAAAGATACTGGAGTGGTTTGCCATTTCTTTCTACAGCTCACTTTACAGATGAGAAAACTGAGGTAAACTGGTTAAATGACTTGCCTAGGATCACGCAGTTAGTAAGTGTCTGAGACCAGATTTTACCTCAGGTCTTTCCTGACTCCAGCCCTGGAATTCTATCTACTGCACCACCTCCTAATATGGAACCAGTGGGGGCTTTCTGTTTGATTCTAGAGAGAGTTATGTTCTGTCTAGCTTATAGAATGCTTCAACTAAATAAGATAACGTTCTTTGGTCATGAGGCCCCTGAATGCACAAATTGGTTTTAGAACTGCATCTCAACTTCCCTGGTTATTTTTAAGACAGTCTAGGGCTGCAGCCATAAACAATGGCTGTAACATTCCACATAGCACATTGGTACATCCGTTTGTTAATTAAATACATTATTGCCCACAGCTATATCTACTGATATCTAGGGGAAATAGAGTATTGATGTTGTAGACATTATCAAGGGGAGAACATTTTGCTTTTCCAATTTACTAACCAATAAAGCTCCTTCAGAGGATGAAAATTACAGATTTGCTGTGGTCGTCTAACGCAGTAGAGCATGGTCAGTAGAGAAGGACCCAGATGTATCTAAATCTGAGGTTCTTAGCCTGCGATCCATGGGCAGCTAGGGGTCTGTAAACTTGCACAAGCAGAAAATTACATCTTTATTTTCACTAACTTCTAATTTAAATTTAGCATTTCCTTAAATTATTTAAACATTATTCTGAAAAGTGCTCCATAGACTTCACCAGTCTACTCAGGGGGTTCCATGACACAAAAAAAAGTCAAGATTCCCTGATCCAAATAGTAGAAATAGACTGAATTTCCAGATGAGTTTATAATCAAATTCACAGTTTCTGAATTTCTAGCCAGAAGTTGCCTTAATTGCTGAGAAAGCTTACTCAAATTTACCAGAAACAGAAAAGGAAGATAAAAAGAGAATATAGTATTAAAGGTGGCCTGACCTTAAAGAGGAAAATGGTGGTGAAAAGGCAGAATTTACTATAAATAAATATTTTTTATCTATATGGTATGTAGATGGCCATTGGAGTATATCTAAGACATCATGATATGGTGCATAGAATTCAAATCCCACTCTGATGCTTACTGTCTATGTGATCTTGGGCAAGTCATGTCACATCCCCTGGGTCACAGGTTGCATTATCTGTAATGAACAGGTTAGATTAGATGGCCTCAGGTTCCTTCTGGTTTCAGATATATGGTCCTTCATCATTCCTTATGAACTGGGACCCCACACAGGAAACCTGTTCATTTGAAGACAAAGAAAAAGAGATTTAAATATTAGTAATGCTTTTCCTTGTTACTGTTGTTCAGTAGTTTCAGTCACGTCCAACTCTTTGTGACCCCATTTATGGTTTTCTTGGACACTGGAATGGTTTGTCATTTCCTTCCCCAGCTCATTTTACAGACGAGGGAAGTGAGGCAAACAGGGTTAAGTGACTTGCCCAGGGTCACCCAGCTAGTGACTGAGGCCAGATTTGAACTCAGAAAGAGGAGTCTAGCTAACTCTAGACCTGGCACTCTAGTCACTGTACCACCCAGCTACTTTCCCTTGTGATAATTCACCTCTTTTCTTTTCTCCATTGACCTCTTTCCTATTTAATTTTTTGGTGGGGCCTTATACTTTGCTTTACCAATTGTATAGCTTGTCCCCACTGTCCTTTCCCTAGCTTGGCCCTTTTCATCATGTTATCATTATTTAATTAACCCCTCAGTGTAGGTACCATATAACTTAATAGCCATTCATCTCACGTAGCTATTTTTTTGATGCTTCATGATTGCTAAAAAGGATCTGAACATTTCATATGTAGAGAGAGAGATGAAATATATGCAGCAATACTTCAAAAGATCCATGCCACAGGTACAAACAGTTCCCTCACTGACATAGATTATACCCCTTCCTCTCCCCCCCAACATTAGTGATAGATCCTATTGACGAATGTCTAAAAAAAAAATGCCTGATGACAAATTATCTGGGCAAAGGCCTTTCTGAGCTTAGTTAGGCCAGTCCTTGGAGGATAGACACAAAGTTCATCACTGAATCAGTACTCAAGGCCCTTCCAGCATCAAGGTCTGCCAAAGGCTACTGGTGGATCCCTTAAAGAATTCAGGCTTGTTGCCATGCCACAACAACGGATTGGAGCTGTACATTACTGAAGGATTAATCAAATAACCACAGATAGGATTAATTGTATAAACATAGATATTCATCATATAAACATAATGTGTAACTATATATAATATAAATACATGATACCATTATTATGGATATAGACGTATGTAAATAAAATGAGGGGTATTAGAGCATAATGGAGAAGGACCAACCAGCCTCAGACTCTGGAAGACTTGCCTTCAGTTTCTACCTCTGACACATCTTAACTGTGTGACCCAGGGTATATCATTAGCCTCTTACTGTGCCTGCTAGTTGTCTAAGACTCTAAGTTGAACAGTAGCTGCCGACCTGTTTTGGATGAAGGAGTCCCCCACGCCAATGAAATCATAGCTGCAGTCAATACATATACATATATATATATATATATATATATATATATATATATATATATACATATATATATATATATACACATATACACATATATATATGTATATATGTATATATATGTATATAGGTATATATGTGTATATGTATGTGTATATATACATATACATATATATGTACATCATATGCATACATATGGACATATACCTGCATTTTGTTTACAGGTAAAAAAAGATGTATGACTGAATTTTCTTGGCATACTAAAAATGTATTCCTCTGCTAGTTAACTGGAAAAATATGGAAGATATAAAAGACTAGGGGACTGGTACTTTATAATGATAATAACTCTTATTTATATAGTATTTTAAGGTTTGCAAAGCACTTCACACAGATAACATCATTTGATCCTCAAAACAACCCTGTGAGGTAGGTACTATTATTATCTCCATTTTACAGATGAGGAAACTGAGGCTGAGCTAGTAAGTTTCTGAGGCAGGATTTGAACTCAGGTCTTCCTAATCCAAGATCAACACACTATCCTTTATGCTACCTAGCTGCCTTACATATGAAATCTATGAATTAGTAAAGCCACACATCAGAGACTATCCTTCACACCATCAATTTGTTCCCTTGGCCTAAGAATAACTGGAGTAAGGGCAGGTACCTTGCAACCTTGCAACTTGCTTAGGCAACCTAAGCATTTTCCAACTTGCATGTCCACAATATGTTGTGTAAAAGTAAACTAAATATTTATTTGTCAGTAGTATAGTATAGACACAAACATAGAATAATTATCTGGAAAAGTCTTTAACTCCTGTCTCTCTTTTTCTGTTTCTCTGTCTCTCTCTTTCAGGCAGTCAACTCTGTACCCAATAACCAGTATATTGTTGGTTCTGGAGACTCTCTGGGTCAGTTTCAACTGGACATTGATATTTCAGGATTAATATTTACTCATCATCCCTGTTTTAGCCGTGAGCACGTTTTAGCAGCCAAATTGGCCCAGTTATATGATCAATATCTAGCAAGACGTCAGAGGAACCAGACAAAATTTCTTACAGATAAGGTATTTATGATTGGTTCTCTTTTATTAGGCTGGATTTTTTAATGAGTTAAGGTGGATAAAATTCTAAGTAAAATATTTCTTTACAGATTACCCTTCTTTCTGAGATACTTTACGTGAGATCCTTCCTATATTCAAAACACTGCACTCTTTCAGCCCTGTGATTCTCTGCTTTACAAATATTTTGTTGTGGCTACTGTACCACTGATATTTCTAAGTCACATACAAAAAAGTTCTCTACTCTCCTTGCCCTGGTTGTGCACATGTTAAAATGTCAGTGACACTAAATAGACTATCACGTACCAGAACAGGGAGGGACCACACATTAGAAAATAGACACACTTCTCTCTCTTATTATCTTAGTGAAGTCTTGCTCAAAGGCTTAGGAATAGATCAGATCACCTGATGAAGCATACCAAGTTTACAAATGTGACTCATGTTTTGTCCAAGGCTGTCCCAATTTGAGATTAATTTTGTCAACGTTGCATTATTCAGTTCTGTTTTCTCATGGCATTAAGCAGTCACCAAGCTTGTTGTGGATAACATTGTTCTCTCAAAATATGTTCATAACTCAGAATTGGCATTATTTGTTGGTAGCTCAACGCTCTGAGGAATGCTGTGCACACTCACCCTGATTCCACCAAACCTCATGGTCCTGGCCACACAGCTCAGGAAAGCATGAACAAGTATCAATCTGAAATTCGGTGAGTAAAATGTTAATTTGTGGTCATTTGGGGTTTTTTGTATGAGATTTCTAGACCCTTCCTACAAATGCAAAAAATCTCTTGGTCAAGAGAAATAATGAGTCCTGAGAGTTGGCCTCAAATTGAAGAAGACCTTGGTTCACGTCCCACCTTCGACACATAGTGGGTAAATCACTTACCCTCTCAATCACTTAACCTGTCATACAGGGAGTTACCTATGCTAAATGAAACCACAGATCTAGTCTTCTAGCTCTATTTTTATCATAGCATCTGTCATTTTACATATCATTAGTCACAGTTGCCCTTTGGTCATATGCAAAAACATGGCACATAAAACTTAAAAATCACATTTTACATTTTGTAATAAAGCATGTCCATCCACATAGTCATTTGTACATATCTAGGTAGGGAAATTGCTCCAAGCTTTCAACTCTGGCTAAACCATATTTTTCTGCCTCTAGCAACCAAATTTTCTTTGCCTCCCCCACCCCCAGCCACCCCAGTGGAGTCTTTGAAAATTTGGTCAGATTAGGTAACCACCATTTACACCTCTGTTAGCCCTCTTCATTTTAATTATGACACACAAGGTCAGAAATGCACAGCTGGTCTTCATATTGGCATGGATGAGAAAAAGTAGAAGCATTTCAAGGATCTAGAATTTTTTCCTCTGTGGCTGCAGATTGCAAACCCTTGGGTAACTTGGTAAATGATATCAGAGTTCTTGTGGCTAAACATTAGTCTCTAGCCAATTCTGTGATGAGATTGCCTGAACTGAGAAAAGTTGGTCCTGAATAACAGATATATATTCTACCACCAAACCCACACTTATAATTGTAGTAGGTGGTAATGATAGTAATGATAGTAGTATTAAATTCGAATTTATATGATTATTTAAGGTTTGCAAAGCATTTTACATGTTACCTTATTTGATCTTCAAAACAACCTGGGGAAGTTGGTACTATTGTTACTCCCATTTTATATAGGAAGGTAAGAGAGATTAAGTGACTTGCCTAGGATCACACAGTGAATTAAGTATCTGAGGCAGGATTCAAACTCAAGTCTTTCTGACTCCAAGGTCAATGTCCTTTCACTTGGTAAGACCCATCAGAGCTTGAACGTTCAAGCCTTTGAGGGCCCAATGTTACCTCCATACCACAAGTAGGCGTGGGAAGAGGATTTCAATAGAGGAAGAGAGGGAAATATGTCTTATTCTATCATTAATACATTGCTTTATCAAGAGTTCACCCCTCATGCAAATGAGCTATTCAGAACATAACGGAGAACCAAGAAGGGAGCTTAAAAAAGACCTTAAGAGTATCTTGAAAAAAAAAAACCTTTGCATTTCATTTACTTATTTGATTCACAGAAAAGCTTCTTGGACTTTAATTCAGAGTGCATTTATTCTTACTTTAGACAAAGTTCTTATAAGTTTAATTACCTGCTTTTCTAGCCCACAGACGATTAGAAACAACAAATCAGAAGCATTGGGGATGCTGGAGTCAGTCATACAGAGAGCAGTAAGAAGTGACAGCTAGTAGCCTCATAGGAATGGAAGAGACAGAATAACTATTAGAAGACACAAGAATTCAAGGAGCACAGCAGTTGGGGATCATTTAGTATGAAAGCGAACGGCCCAACTACTTCAATAGCTACTGAAGTCATCACTGTATAACAGCCCAGCACAACAAATGACATTCTTAATGGTGATATTGAGTCATCAAGGAAAGGTTAAGTTATGTTTTGTGCACTCTAAAATAGACATGAAGTCTATTTTAGGAGGATTTATACTCAAAATAGTTTAAATGAAAGAAATATTGGCTCTTAAAAATATTGGCTATTAAAATTATTTCATTTTTGTGGATCAGCTCTTTCCCTTCTGATGCCAGATAAGTGAGATGTCTCTTTCTCTGGATGTTCATTTAGGTCTTTGATTCATTATAATTTTAAATAAACCTTGACAGGAAGAGGAATAGATGGTGTAGAACAGCTCAAACTCCCAAGTCTTTATCACACGTAACCCATGCCTCTGTTGGTTGTATGCAATATGGTTCTTACTGCATAGTCAGTATCCAAGCTTCCAAATGATTATTAGCCTATTTGTTAATTTTATTTCCAATGGGATGGTCTGCTTTTCAATTATTAGATGTCTGAACTCAAAGGAGACTTCTACTTTCCAATAATTCATGTCAATTTGTGTACACTTGACTCAGAATATTAAAATATGCTTTAAGACTAATTTGTGATGATTATATGCTCTGCAATTAAATGACTAAATTAAAACCCTTGTCCTGTATTAGGAATAAGACCTGGATTTGTGCTTTCATTGCTATAGGGAAGTCTCAGGTATGAAAACTCCATTAATACTAAGCAAAGCCTTCTTTGCAACCTGGAGTCTTAAAAAATTGCCTAGAACACTGAGAGTTATGTGACTTACCCAGGGTCACATAATTATTGTGTGTTAGAGACAAGACTTGAAACCAAGTCTTGAAACTAGATGAATGGATGGTTCTCTGTCCACTGTACCATGCTTCTCCTTTGTCCTATATTATTGAGTACAACGTTGTCCTTTTTGCCTGTTTAGATCAACAATTAAATGTTTCATTTGCTCAGAACTCTCCTAGAAATCTTTGGGGAGCTTCTGTGGCTGGAGGTTGATGAGAAAAGTAAAAATTGCACATTTTAAAGTTAATTTGGCAAGATCAGATATTTTATATTGCATTAAGAAAAAGGAGATTACTACCTAATTATCGAGTGAAAATGGTCTATTATGATGCATGCTTGGTATATTATGCTATTAGAGGTTGCTAATTAATCCCCTGAAAAGTGCATCACGCAAATCTTTATGGTGGAAGAGTAGCTATAGTGATCTGGGCCTGTAATTTTGGATAGCAACCTTGGATAGAAACCTTTTCATCAAAGCAACTGACTGCTTATTCATATAATTTCAAAGCATGTATGTTTCTTTAATGATGTACAGCTCTAAAAAGAATCTTAAAGAGTTATACAATATATCAGAATTAACCAAAAGTACTCGGAAGGGAATAAAATACAACCCTCTTCAAATTTGGATTATTAACTAGTTATCCTCATGATTTGAAATATCTTAATTATCAAATGGAAGATTAATTCATTTGGCTCCTATTCTGATCAGTTTTTTAGCTTCGGGGCTTATTTACACCAGGATAATTTTTCATACATGCATATGCTGTATATTTTGTAGGCAAACGCGGAGATTACGTGATGCTGAAGAAGAAAAAGATCGAATATTGCTGAAGACCATCATAAAAGTTTGGAAAGAAATGAAATCCCTTCGAGACTTTCAGAAGTTTACCAACACACCCATAAAACTGTTTTTGAGGAAGTATGTTCTAATGACATATACACTTCTTAATAGGCCAGCAACTATTTTTATATAAGCTTCAGAGAATGGTCATTGATGGTTAAACCCTTTCAAAGTAATGTCAAGGAAGTCTCTGGTTTTCTTTTCCCTTCCAGACTGTACATTAGAGACACTGCAAGGATTCTTAGTCAGGTATGTGTTACACTAGCTAGCCTCTGAGGCCTCTTCCAGCTCTGAGACACTTTTTTTTATAGCATACTATTCCACTTAAATTAATTATGTATCAGAAAATCCATAGGAAGAGTAAAAAAATTAGTTATATAATAGTAATAACTATCTCACATTTATATAGGACATTAGCATTCACAAAGAATTTTCCTTACCTTGTGTGAGGTACGCAGAGTAAATATGATTAATTCCATTTTATAGATGAGGAAATGGAGGCTCAGAAAGATACAATAATGCCATATTGATTTTTTGCCTTGGGACACGGATTCCTTTGTTTTTTTCTCAAATATACTTGTGAAAAAATTAAAAGGAAAAATATGTTATCCTCTGCTTGGACATCACCTACATGAGGAAGAAATATCATAAGATATTTTTTAAGTTTTTTTCAAACAAAAACTCTATGCAACCCTTAGCAAAGCATTAGCTCAGGATTTGAGAGATGTCCCTTTTTTGCCTGAGTTTTGAATGAATGAAAAGTTTTGGTGATCCCATCTCATCCAAGCTATAAAACCAATGAAACAGCCCTGATAGGTTCTGGGTGGCACCTTCCCAGGAGAGGACAAGAAACCAAGGGAGAGAGAGAAGAGATTCCCACCACTTAGCTATGTTTAATGCCATTGAGGAACTCTGCCTAGCTAACTGTCCCTAAGTCTGTGAGTTCCTGAGAGCAGGGATTGTTCATTTTCCCCTTTCTTTTTAATCTCCAGCACTTAATGCAGTGACCAGCACACAGTAGATTTAATAAATGCTAATTGACTAAGAGAGAGCTTTCTCTGCAGTTTTTCTGTTTTACTAATGTCTTCCATGTCATCTTAGATACAGTATATTTCAGTAATGAGAAATATTCACAACTGTTTATGAAATGCTTACTTTTTTTAATTAATAATTAACACCAGTGTACATTTCACTTTTTTGTCTTCATAATTAAATATTTGTTCACTCTAATCCACCAAATCTGGTACATCAGGGTGAATGTGTAAAGAGTTCAGGTTGCATTTAGTGCGCCTAAATAGTGATGTATTAAATCTAAATCTGAAACCCTGAAGTAGGAAACATGTGTATTGCGGCATCTAATAATTTTTCAGTAGAGCTGGATGTCCTTATAAGTTTGCCAGGGTTTAACAGCTCTAGATACCTAAAAAGTTTGCCCAATCTGAATAGAGGAGCTTCCAGTATGAACTTGGCATCTAGATTTGCATTAAGAAATATAAAGCAAGAGCTGGTGTCAGCCATTTGGAATGTATAGCCCCTACACTAATACAATTGATATGGTCTGATCTTAGAACAGCACTGCAAATTTTAACATTATCGTAATGAAATTTCACTTAGGTTGTATAGATAAGCTCAAACACATAGCTTTCAAGAGTTTTGAAGTGATTTATCATACTAATAAAAAACTCATATCATTAAGTGAAGTCTTTGTGGCTTGAATGAATACCATTGGCAGTGGGAGAGGGGAAGGAATTGGGGTTAAGTGATTTGTTGAGGTCACACATCTAGTAAGTGTCAGAGGCTAGATTTGAACTTAGGTTCTCCTGACTCTAGGGCCATTGCTCTCTCCACTGCACCATCTAGCTGCCCCTCTATTTTTAAATTATTAAATGTACTTTACCTACTTTAAGTGACCTTTAGAGAGAAAATATAAATGCTATAAATTATTTTAAAGGGAAGAAGTTGACTGGAAAACAGATGAAAAGGTATTTGAAACAGAAATTCAAGCAGAAACAAATGAGTTATTAGAAGAGCACATGGAAGAATATGAAAAGAAGATGGAAGAATATAGAATCGAGTACCAAAAATGGAAAGCCTGGAAAAAAGCACAGGTATGTAGAGCAGTTTCAACTTTGAACACGGCTGACCTTTGGCAGTGTGGAGTGTGAGATTTTATGGTAAGCATAAGGGTAAGTGGGCTTGGCCAATGTGGGCCTTCTCTTGTCCCAAAATCAAACATAAAATCCTTTAGCATTTCAAGCCCTTCACAAACTGACATTCTGCTGCTTTTTCAGTTTTCTCACATTTTATATTTCCCAGCAACATTGGCCTTCACTCCATCTCCTATTTCCATGACTTTGCACTGGCTGCCCCCCATGCTTAAAATGCTTTCCATCCTCATTGGCTTCCTTCAAGAATCAGCTCAGATCCCACCTTCTGCAGGAACCCATTATTGGTCCTCCCCATCCCACCCTCTCCCACCCTCCAGCTGAAATGCCTTCTCTCCAAGACTACCTTGCATTTCCATTGGATACATCTTGTATGCACATAGTTATCTGTGTTTCTCCTCCATTACAGTGTGAGTTCCTTGGGGGAGGGGAGCCTGTTGTTTCCCCTTTTTGGTATCCCTAGTGATTAGCACAGTTCCTTGCACTTAGCAAATACCTGATAAATGTTTGGACTGCTAGGTGATGCAGTGGATAGGGTGCTGGGCTTGGAGTTAGGAAGACCTGAGCTCAAATTCAGCCTCAGATACTTCCTAGCTGTGTGACCCTGGGCAAGTAACTTAACATCTATTTGCTTCAGTTTCCTCAACTGCAAATAGGGCATAATAATAGCACCTACCTCCCAGGGTTGCCGCAAAGATCAAATGAAATAATATCTGTAAAGTGCTTAGCCTAGTGCCTGGTACATAATACACACTATATAAATGCTAGCTGTTACTATTGTTGTTGACTGACTGACTACCATGTTAAAGGCACCACACTAGGCGCTGGGAATGTGAAGATAAAAATGACACAGCCCCTGCTCCCAAGGAACTTATATCTATCGTCTTTTCTATATCCCTATCCCTAACTTCTGACGATAAACCTCATTAAACCTGCCATCAGTTTAATTAAAAATCATTAGAAGAAGAGTATGGGGTAAGGTTTGTATACAGAAATCTTTAGCCTCAGTTCTCCTTACCCCTGTTTTAAAAATGATTAGCTCTTGATATAGAAGGAGGATGAAAATAAATGTCATGTTTAGAGGTAGTCCTAGGTACTATGTATTTGCTGGATACTACTGCTTACAGAACTTTTTCCCTATAGTCTGTTCGACTACTGATCTTTGGGGGCTTCTTGGCATCTGCTGCCAGGAATATAATGTTCTTGCTACTAAAGGGCTCCATGTTTCCATCAGCAGTGTTGCTTCAGGACCTATTTTGAATGAATGACTGAGTGAGTGAATGAATGAATTAATAGTATTGTTCTCAAAGAATCTCCACAAAATGATGATGCTGAAAACATGGCCCTTAAGGATTGAATGTAGAAAGAACAGACAAAAAAGAAGGAACGTATGCTATAAAAGCAAAAGCCTTGACTTAGCTACTGGTGCTAAATAAGCGACACTAAGAAAAGCTCTGTTCTCAAGAATTCTTCCTGACTATCAGTGCCCTTTGCATACCTAGATATGTTTTCTGACCTAGAGACCCTGCTTCCTGGTGTTACTAGAACCTGAATCTCAAACACCATAGTTATAGAACTGGTGATGAGGACAATAGTGCCATCTTGAGCTCATCTCTAGTAAAATATACTTGTCTGTGGACAGTTAACACAGTTGGATAGAACACTATGACAGACAGGACAAGCTTATGGCTTCAATCCCCACAGGAACCTATTAGCTTTATTCTTTTCCTTAGCCATAGTCAAAAATACTAATCACATCTAGTCATTTTTCACATGCATACCATTAGTCACAAGGGAAACTGTGTAACATGATGTGTATGTATCAGTGTAAACTCTCTTTACTACTAGAAAGGCAACTTGAAATGACCACAAATAAAATATAAGAAACACAGAATTTCTACATAAGTGAAATGATTATAAATAGGCTCTTACAATTTAGGCATTAAATTCCTATTCAGCAAATGAGAGGTACAGTTTGCACTTCCTTTCTTTCTAACTCTCTCCCTTGCTGAATTCCCTTGGCTCGTATATAATACGGAAATATAACACTAAATATAAGTAAGCACAAATATGTTACATGTGTTATATATATGTTATGTGTTATATATTATATTATGTGTTACATAAATATGTATTTCTATTCACATATGTTTACCATATATTTACATATGATATATTTGCACAAATGTATTATGTATACTTATATAATTATATATGACATATTCACACAAATATGTATCATGTATATTTTATATACAATAATATATTCATACAAATTTTGTTATATATTATATACATTTATATATTATATACATTTATATGTTATATATTTGCACAATATTACATGCTATGTATATGTATTGTATTGCACAATATATTGCATATTTATATTTAATGATTATGTTGTATAGTATACATATTAGTGCTTAATTATATTTAGTCTTATATTTACATTGTTAGAATAAAATGTAAGCTCCTTGAGGGCAGGGTCACACATATACTTATTTACATTTTAGTTTGCATACTTCTTGCCTTAGGCAGAGCTAGATCCACAAAGGGTGTGGATAGCTCCAGAGTAGAATACAATGTGATGGTAAGATACAAGGATAAAAGCTTCCAAGAGTTTCTAACCTTGCTTTCTTTTGTGTAGAGGATCAAGAAAAAGAAAAAGAAGCCAAAAGAAGAACAAGATGGGGTAACTGAGGAGCCAGAATATGGGGAGGAACCTGTGAAACCCACTCCTCCAGAACCTGTTGATAGGTCTACAATAGAGCAACAGGTTAGAGAGAAAGCCTTACACAGCAGGAGGAAACCTGGAGAGCCTATTTTAGTTCCTGAGCTGAGCCTGGCTGGAAGTGTGACACCCAATGAGCTCTGTCCAAGGTAAGATGGTTCTCAAACTTTAAAGGAATCTTTGATCCACAGCTTTCCTTGTTTATAATTTCTTACCTACCCATAGATACAAATGATGTACATATATTGTGGGTATATACCACATTGGTCTAAATATAAACTACATCCCTAAAATAAGATCTGTTAAAAGGAGATAGCTACACAGACATAAATCTTTTTATTCATTTATTTATGTTGTTGATCAGTCATTTTTCAGTCATATCCAACTGTTTGTGACCCTATTTGGGGTTTTCTTGGCAAAGGCCGGAGTGGTTTGCCATTTTCTTCTCCAGTTCATTTTATAGATAAGGAAACTGAGGCACACAGGGTTAAGTGACCTGCCCAGGATCACACAGCTAGGAAATGTCTGAGGCCAGATTTGAACTCAGGAAGAGTAGTCTGCCTGACTCTAGTCCTGGTGCTTTGTCCACTGCACTACCTAGCTGAGCGTATTTAAGTACACACAGTGAAAGACATATTTTCAAAACTATTGACATATTCCTTCCAACAATGCAGGTTGCAAGTCTTCTCTACTTTAATAATGGTTGTTCATAAATTGTTTTGGTTAAAAAAAAAAACCTCTTGAGAGGCAGCTAGGTAGCACAGTGGATAGAGCACCGGCCTTGAAGTCAGGAGGATCTGAGTTCAAATCCAGCCTCAGACCAAACACTTGACACTCACTAGCTGTGTGACCCTAGGCAAGTCACTTAACCCCAATTGCCTAAAAAAAAAAGCCCTCTCGATCGGGTGATCAACCTTTAGCCTTTCTATTTAGTTGGGCTGGTCCTCAGACAACAAACCAGACCAATGCTCTATGCCTTTCTAACTTTGTAGGACATCCCTGAATATGTGCTCCACTGGCATCACTTTATCACCTTCAAAAGTCCAGAGCCACCTTCCCCACCCCCACCCCCAGTGATGGAGCATTGGAACAGGACTTTAGTGGGGGCCTGAAAATAATTACATAAACTCGGTATAATTTACATACATATATGCACATTTACAAATACACATATGAGAAACAGTATGACAGTAAATGGAGAACCAACATCAGAGGCAGGAAGACCTGATTGTATGTCCAGTTTCTGACATGTACTGCCTCTAGGTCAGTCCTTTAATCTCCTGGGTCACAAACAACTTTCTGAGACTCTAAGTTGCATAAAAGTTACTGCTCTCCATTGGTAGGGAGGATGTCCTCACTGGGAGTTTCCACATAAACGAAATTACGAGTGTGGTTGGGGATTTATGTGTGTATGCCCTGAAAAAGGGTTATCCTGGCTGTTGCTGTTGTTTTCCCATTTCTGTCAGAGAGCTTACAATCTGGAAGGGTACTTTTCTTGTATCCAAGGAGTATTTATATAACTATGAAATTTTGCCACCAAAAAATACAGTTGTAATTCAGATAAGTTAGTTACCTCATAGGAGAAATGATCTCTTAGGAGCCTCATGGATCATTTTGGTCTTTAAGTAGAACACTAGTGGCTTATTTATTTATTTATTTATACTGAAATGTTCATTTGCTTTTAAATTTGCTCTTTAGTAAGCTTCTTTCATAACAAGTTTTTCAATATTATTTGTTTCTGAATCCTACATATAAACAAATAAGCTCTGGCTAGCAGTTAAACACTTTTGAGCTACACATAACATTTTTAAAAAAATAAATAACCTCTTCAAACAACTATATTCACAGGACTATACCAGGGGTGGGAAACCTGCAACCTCAAGGCCACATGTGGCCTTCTAAGTCCTTGGGTGCAGCCTTTTGAGTGAGTCCAGGTTTTACAGAATAAATCCTTTTATGAAGTTTAGATTCAATCAAAAGGCTGCACTTGAGGACCCAGAGGGCCACGTGTCACCTTGAGACTGTAGGTTCCTCACCCCTGGACTATATATTTTGGGTTTTTTTTTTTAAGGGAAAAGGTGGAGTCCAATTGTCCACCTTTAAGAGGCTTGGAGAGTTTTTTTTTCCCCTCTCAGGATGTCTCATTGAATGTTCCCATTGCCATACCAAGATCTGGGCCATTCATCCTAAGTTAAGCCAGACCAAGAGCAGCCACCATCTTTTCCCTTTACCCAAGTGATCAGTGAAGCAGGACAGGGGGCTGCCTCCATAAAGGACTTCAGCTCACTGCATGGGATAACTGGGGAGTAAATTGTTCATCAGCCCTTTGTGTGACTTTTATTTCCTACCCAACTGAATCCACTAGGATTCAGGGTGACACTTTCTTAACAGTTGGTGTTGAATGCTCATTAATATGTGAATTAAACTGCAGTAGAAATTGAATATGTCTGGGTTGGTTGTTGCTCTTCGCTCTCAAAGAGAACCAAAATGGCATCACTATGTTGGGGTCAAAGTACAGTGTGTCCAACTGCAGCTGATCAAACCAATATGAGCTTGGAAGGCTCTACCACAGTCCAAATGAATATTTGGAGTGAAGATGTGTCTAGGTAAGGGCATGAAAAACTTCAAAACTGATTCTCTGTAAATCTTAGACCCGTTTTGGACCTTGATTTCATGATTTGGGTGGGGCTTTTCCCCCCTTTGTCAACACTCTGACTTCCTTTAGAGACAGCCCTGAGCCAATAGCTGTTTTTTGAGGATAGCATCACAAATGTATATAGTGAAACTACAGTCTGCTATTTTTATTTCCCCCTTTTTTTAATCTTTAAATTTATATGAAAGATTTTTACCGCCCACATTTATACTTGCTACTCTCCTGGATTATTGTATAGTAAGCATTTGATTTAATAAATACTTATTAAGCCCTTACTATAAGCAAGGTGCTATGTTGTGAGAAGATGGGCTTACAGTATATAAAGTTGGCAAGACAGATTCACAGATAACCAAAATCTAAGGCAGAAATTAATGTGTTCCTAGAAGAGGTACCAAATCATCCAAGGAGACAGAAATTAATTGACATTGTAATAAAATACAAGCTACCTGAGGCAGGATTTTTTTTTTGTCTTTGTATCCACAAAGGCTACCATAGTATCTTGCACATATTAGAGACTTTGTTACTGACATTCTATATCATAAGTATATTAAATTGTACCCTAGAAGACAAGAAAGGTCTACTAAGGGGTCTCTTATGGTCTGAAAATACTTATGTAATTTCTAAAATGCCTTATTTATGACCAGCAAAATCTGGTCCAATATGGGATGACTCTGTTGTATGCTACAATATAGTAGATTATTTGGGAGTGAAAAGTACTGCTAAAATGTGAGATTCTCTTACTGAGTCTATATTTGAATACCCCTGTTTGATATACAGGCAATGAATTCCTAGAAGCTTCTCGCAAATACAATACTCCATCTATGAAATGGTTTGCAACAACTGCTGGAAGGAGTAAAGAGGCTGGAGACCAGTGACACACCAAAGCTCATTAAACTTTATGTGTTCTTTCAATGCAAGGTTTTAACTTTGTCAGCTTCTACTTTCTGTGTTAGAATATCATACTATACTAGCCTCTACTAGGCATGGTCATCTGGCTGTATAGTGATTGTAAACGTGCTCCCAAACTGTCGGAACTTGCTTTTTTTCTGTAAGGTAATACTTTTGTTTTAATTTGAGCAGCTTAGTTGTACGTTTGGCAGATGTTCCTTCTAGTCTTTATCAAAATTTGCACTAACGCTGCACAAAAATGTGATTTTATTTTTGTAATTTCCTAGGGCAGAGATCTTGAGAAGAGAAGACGTAAGGAAGCGTTCAGTATTTTTAAAAGTCCTTTTCAACAATAAAGAAGTTTCAAGGACAGTCAGTCGTCAAATAGGCATGGACTTCCGAGTTCATTTTGGACAAATTTTCAATTTACAGATACATAATTGGCCAGAGAATTTAACACTTCAGGTAATCTAATTTTTAGTAATTAATTTAGGATGTTTTAACATGCATTCTTTTTAAAGATAACATTTGTAATGACTCTAGAATATAAATTGGCTATTGGCTTTTTCAGGTGAAAAATAGGACAAGGTTTGTTACAACTTCCAAGACTCTGTGACTCTGGGTACAATCTCAAGGGCCATCTGTCTGACCTTTTAAAAGTACTGTGGGTGGAGGCCACGGGTAGAAGTGGTATTCCTGCCTCTGTGACCTTGGCAGAACAGGTATGGGATTTTTTGCAAGGACCATTAGCCCCATGGCTTTGAGAGAAACATTTATTTCTAAATTCTATGGCTTATGCGTTGGCAACAGTAGACCTGGGATTCATTCATCTAGAATTAGCTTGTCCTAGGTAAAGATACTCCAGTATCAACTCCTGGCATGCATATAGGTAGGGATAGGCTTAAGAATAGGTGGTTGTGCCACAATCCGAGGGTAACATGATTTTAGGTGTCCCAAGAAAGCTCCCTTGCCCAAAATATCTCAATGGTACCTTATGGAGCCATGCCTAAATATCAATATTAAAGATATAGTCTCCAGTTTTCAAGAGTTTCATACAAGCATGGGAAAAACAATAAAGTTTAATGAAAACAGTATTGGAGACAGAAGACCTAGGATTTATTCCTACTTCTATCATTTACTAGGTGAGTAACTCACTTCCTCTCTCTGAGCTTCAGTGTCATCTATAAAATGAAGATAATACCTAGCTTATAGGGCTGCTGGGAAGATTCAGTATGACAATAGATTGGAGAGCCTTTCAAAATCCATGAGATGTATTTATTAGTATTGTCATAAAAATTCTAATAACAATGAGGAAAGCAATATCTTAAACCTTAGTAGCTAACTCCTTTGGGAGGATTATAATGGCTAGATGATAGAGGAGAGAAGGGAAGGCATGGGACATGGAACATGGGGATGCTCCTCCTTACTTTTTCCCTATCCTTCCCTGTCTTCTGACCCTAATCCTCACCAAGCCTGCCATCAATATAGTAAAAAGTTACTAAAAGAGTCTGAATTAAGGTTCTCATTAAGAACCTTTTAACCTCTAAAGTAGAAGAATATTGCCTAACTCATAAAATGCCAAAGAAGATCTGTTCCATTCCAAATTCCTGAAGAGGAATGAAACAGCCAGTATATCATTTTTAAAATTTGATATCTTTTGTTCTTATACCATTTTCCTTTCCCAACATATCCCTCTCATTTTCCTCTCCCAGATGCATTACTAAATAGCCTCTCCCAGGCTTTATGAGAATTTGTGGGGCCTTCTAAGAAAGTCTGTAGTACAGATGTGTCCCATTGTAGAGAATATATGTTTTCCTGAAAAGATATTTAAAAATCTTCTGGTGAAGCCTTTTATAAATGAAAGAAATCTTTTACCAAATAAAAATCATCCACTTTCATGTGATCTGTTTTGACTATGAACAAGACAGTCCTCTTCAATGGACCACTGACTCTTACATGTGTTAAATAAGAGGACCAGTTCAGATGATTTCTAAAGTCCTTTACAGTCCCAAATAAATTATCATATGGGTCCACATTTTTCATTGATTTGTGCTTGAGAGAAAAGTAGGTGAGAAATTAAACATTATTATACTGAGATAGTCCCCAATCCCAACTACTCCTGCTTCCAGAACTCCTTTCCTTCTGTCTCTATAGCTACCACTCTTCACAGGACTCCATTGGTAGCCAAAGATACTAGGAAAAAGGATGAGGGGTCCTAAAGGCAGATACTGGAGGGCACTAGAGACAACCTTCACCAACATTGGCCAATAATTAACCCTGACATTGGAAGTAACTGATTCCTTGACATAAACTAGAAAAACAAATGTGTTTGTTTTCTATCTTGCCCTTTTCCCTTTCTTCAAGCATTCTTTTCTTCCACTTTTAATTTATAAAGTTAAAAGCATTAGGAATTTTAAAAATTGTGTTCCCCCATATACGCATAACAGTTGAATCAATAATGTCTGCATAACACCCAAGGACATCCTTTCATAATCAGAGCCCTGAATAATCCTATCATCATCTCAGTTTTTAAATTTATATTTAATTTGCAATTCTCTCACTCAAAGAAGAATTTTAAAAGAAAGTAAAATATTCAGAAGCTATTCCTCACAGATTAATCTGAGCTATTTCAAACGGTCACAACATTTAGTAATATCACCTTTATTCAGCGTTTATTAAAATTGTATTATCTCTATGAAATCATGAGCTTGAAACATCTGCCTCAAAGCATTTTCTGGAATACTAGAATGGATGAAGTGCTATTCATTAGAACTGTGGGTGTTTCCATGGATGAATTCTAAGATTTTCCTCTAAATTTTAAGTAAGGAAAATAATAATTCCAATGAACCCCTCCTTGTTTAAAACATTCGAAAAGCACAACTTATTTTTCTACTATAGTAAGTTTAATGTGAATTTGAAATATAACAGAGGAAGGGGAGAATGTTTTAAGAAATACAAAAAAAAGCATTGGGAGGCAGCTATGTTTTAGAGGCACATAGAGCCTTTGACTTTTCTTTATTGATAGTATTTGATTCTTCCCTGGCTTCATTGAGTATTGCTTTAGGAAAAGGGTCTCCCATATCTATTTCGGCTCCTATTACTTCCCCCCATTGTCATCTACAGAGGTGAGAAGGAAATAATTTAACTGGTAGGTTTGTTTGGAGACAGAGCCACTCAAATAGAGAGTTTTGACAACTATAGGCTTGATGTGGTTGAATCTAGTGTCTCAACTCCATTTTTAAGCATCTCATCTCAAGAACAATCAAAAATGGCTAATCCTGTTCTTCCCTATAATGCTAGGATAAAAAAATCCTAGTTCCAGCAATTGCTTAACAGGAGGAACTTGTTTTCTTTTAGTTACTCAATTTTCATTCACTGTACCTGTTTGGAATTGTATGGAGGGGATTCAAGCTTGCACTAGATGTTGCATTACATTGTCTCTAAATTCTTTTTTCCAATTAAGAGACCCCATGAGCCTACACTTGTATACACTATGCTACCAAAAATAAATTCCAAAATATGTTAGCAAATATTTATGCTTCTTATTATTCTTTAAGGGATCTAGGAACTCCTTAAAGTAAGTCCTGAAAAGAGGTGATAACTTCATAAGAGACTAAAGAACATCTAAATAAGAAAGCCTTTTTAAGGAATGAAGCTACACCCAGTAAATTAGTTTATATGATTTTTTTTTCTTATTTTCTGAATCTGAAGCTTTCTACTACTTAAAGTAGGTTTGGGAATCCTGAGATGAAAACACTCTGCCCAATTTGGGTCTTAGGGTTCTGATTCTGGCTGTAACTGATGACAAAGATCACTCTGTATAGATTTTGGTTCTACAAAGCTATGATAGCACATTTGCAGATAATCATTAATGTTTCCTCCCATTCCTCCCCTGCAGAGGGAAAGATGACCAGAGGAAGACCAAGGATAGCCCATGAAGACCAGATAGAAAGGCTAGAATGAAGAGAGGGAAGCACAGCAGAGATATGAAAGTAAGGCAACAGATAGTAAGGATTATAGCCTTTGAAATGGAAACCAGTCCTACACTGAATAGGCAAAAAGAGAGGAGAAAGAAAACAAAGTCCTTCCCCTTCCTTCCCTCTGTCTGACCATTTTCCTACTCATTATTAATGAAATGCTGGATAACCTACCATTTTTATTTATTCCTATGACATATTGAAAATGCTATCCATTCGTTTGTTCATTCATTCACCAACTTTTTTATGACCCACCCCTGAAACCTCATACGACAGTGTTTTGTACCTCTCTAATATACTTATCATGTATCATATATGATGGTCCTGTCTCTCTTATCCCTTTCCTAGACCATATGCTCCATGAGGACATGGACCATCTGAATTTTGTGTCTCCCCATTTATCGAAATGAATGGAATTTTCTTAGTATCTAGCACAGTGCCTTGAATACAATAGGTATTTAATAAAAGTTTGCCGGATTGAATTTGTTGAATTTATTAATATCTATTATATACAATGCCAAAGAACTAGGTGAGATACTAAAAAACAATTAAATCATGGCAACTGCTCTCAGAGAGATTATAATCTAATAGAGGAAGTATAGCATGGGTGTAAAAATGTAAGACTACGAAGCAACAGAATATGATGGGAGCTACGAAGTGCCATGTAAAGTCTGAGGAAAAAAAATTTCACTAATGTGAGAGCAAAGGTAGTAGAGAGGCAGTTTCATGCCATGGTAAGAGTCAGGCGATGTGGAGATTTCAAGCTGGGCTCTGCTATTCATTGCCTCGGTGAACCTAAGCAAAGTCTCTCCCTTCCAAGCCTAAGGCTTTTCCTCTACAAAATAAGGGATTGAACTCATTGATCTCTGAAGTCCCTTTCATGTCTAAATTTATAATCTTGTCTTAATTATCAGCATATGAATAATTTATTTCTGTACACAAAAGGTTCCATGCTCCATAATATTGAATTTATTAGCGAACTGTGTCACAATTAGGATGTTTATTTTATTTTTGAATAACTTTTTTTAAAAAACTAATTCTTTAAAGTACTATGAAATAATTTTTAAATGAAAAGATAAAGTTGTAATATTTCCCAGATCCACTTGTACATAGCTTAGGACAGCTGGCCCAAATGCTAGTATCTAAGTTGTGTAGCATCTTTGTAGGAAAAAAAATTAATTAAAGTTTTAAACTTGGCTAGATACTAAAGCTTTCCATGGAGATTTAATAACTGATCATGGAGTGTAGTGGATTTGTGGCATAATTTGTAATGACTGAAGTTACAGATGAAATTAATTTGGGGGGATATTGCATTTCAGTTCTCAGAGAATACTTATCTATATCAGAAAAGTAATACACTTTTTGGAAAATGTCCATGCAATTGCTATCTTGGAATTAGGAAATGGTTCAGGAATTGCTGGCAGTTTTAGGAGAAAAATTGATGATACCCTCTGAAGTAAAAATGAATAAGACGATGGTTATCAAATT